TAATAGTTCTGTTTATTTTTTTGCATCTGTCTTTTTATTTCTTATTAGTTAATTCTTAAGTTATTTTTCATTATTAATTATTAATTGTCCTGTTTTTTTTATTTCTTGTTATTAGTCACTTTTTAGTTATTTCTTATTTTTATTATAATTTATTATTTTTTTTAATAATAATATTTATTAATTATAAATAGTTCTGTTTATTTTTTGTTTCTGTCTTTTTATTTCTTATTAGTTAATTTTTAAGTTATTTTTCATTATTAATTATTAATTGTCCTGTTTATTTTTTTGGACCTGTTTTTTTATTTCTTGTTATTAGTCACTTTTTAGTTATTCACTTATTATTAATTATTAATTTTCTTTTTTATTGTTTGAACCTTTTTTGTATTTCTTTTTATTAGTCACTTTTCAGTTATTCTTATTTTATTTTTTTATAAATTATTTTTTAGATATTTAAATTTTATTATTTCTTTTAATTAATTTTAGCTTAATTATTTATATTTAATTTTATATTCATTTTATATTTTTATTTCATTTCATAAGTTTTAATTATTTTATTTATTTAATTTATTTAATTTCTGTAATTTATTTAATTAATTTGTCAACCGAGTGATAAATTCGTTTATATTATTAATTTTTAGATAGTTTTCAAAATAGTAAAAATATAATTTTTATATTTGTTCTGGTGACCTTTTTTTATTTTTGTATTAATTAGAATTTCAGAAGCAAATGCTTTTTAGGAAAAATACACAAAATTTAACTTATTAGTTTCTTTCTTTTTTGGCAATTCACATACACTTGACACTAAAATTTACCTTGAAGAGCACAATTTGATCTAAAACTTTTACACATATTTTTTACTTCATAAAAATAAATTGTCTTGAGATTAATTTTATTTATTATATTTTAATTTGAAACACTAAAAATTTAAAACAAAAAGTAAAATTGCAAAATTTATTTAAATTTTGAAAAGAAATGCAAACAATTTTGCAGAAAGTTTTAAAATTTATAAAGAATGTGTTAATAATTGAAAAATGTTTTAAAATTTGTGAAGAATATGTTAATAATTGAAAAATGTTTCAAAAATTTGTCAAAAAGGTGTAAATAATCGCAAAGTGTTTCAAAAATTTGTAAAAAGAATGAAAAATTAAAAAAAAAAAAATTGTCAAAAGAACAGATCGGAAGTTTTGTGAAATTAAAAGAAAAATTAGTTTAAAGTTGTAGAATTGAAAAATTTGGTATCAATTTTTCTTGGTAAAAATTGAGTCCAGTATTTGTGGAACTAAACAAGTGGGCAAAACGTTTTATAATATAAAATAGTTGATTTGTTGACTGTAACAATGAGACACTTTCCGATCTGAATGGTTCGATAGAGACTGTTGGTAGGCGAATGCAACTTTGCGGATTGGGGAGTCTGATAAAAGTCACTCTTTCAGAGCACTGTTCACGATATCACGATTTGCAAGGTTCACTTGTTTGTCTTTCCAAATGTGAACAAATTGGAACAATAAATTCTCAAGTTTTTTTTCTCTTCTTTTTTTCTTCCAATTCTCGTAAATTTATTATTAAATATCTTTTTGTATACATGATGAGAATTTAAAAAAAAGTTTTTCTATTAAATACTTATAATTTTTAATAAAAAATTAATAATAAAAGTTAAAATTATACTTTAAGGCTTAAAAAAAAAGGTTTAAAAATTTTCTAGTTTGAAAAAACTGTTTTTTTTTATTTTTTGCGAAACAAAACCTTTTTTGACGCTGGACGTTGATGCTAACTTCAGAGACTTTAAAAATTATTATATAAAAATTATAATTTAATTTAATTGTGTGAACTTTTTATAATAATAAATGTTTAATTTAATATTTAATTAATTTAATTTCTTAGGAGTAAAAAGTTAATTATTTTTTTATTCTGTTACAGGTAAGACTATGGCAAAATTACTGATTCGCAAAAATTCTACTTTGGTTAGCAACAAAATTTTCAAGATCAGGTAAAAGAAATATTTTTAATAAATTATAAAAAATTTATAATAATAAATTTAAAGGAAATTTTTTTTTATTCAATTTAATATAGAAAGAAACGATATTTTTTTACTTCTTTTAATTTGTATTTTTTTTGCAAAAAAAAAAAATACAAATTAAAACAAGTAAAAAAATATCGTCGTTCATTTGAACCTTCGAATCTTGAAGGGCAAAAAAAATCAAAAAACCAAATGTTTGAATTTTCAGTAACGGAAATATTATTTACCATATGTAAATGAGGCATTCTTTCTCAAGTGGGCCACCCCTTCTCTCCATTTCAAATTTAATCCAAAAATCTTTTATAATAGCTCAAATTAAAGGTAAAAATGTCAGCTTTTCAATGCCGTTGGGCCCTTTTTGAAATATTAATCTCCAAATAAACTATATATAATTTAATGACAAAAAACACTATGAACAATTCTTTTTCATATTAAAAAAAGAAGAAAAACCCAATTTTAAAAATGCTACAGGGCCTACAACATTAAATTATATGATAAATTAACAAAATTTCATATTATTTCCTAAAATTAAAGATGGCGAATCCAATATGGCGCCCAAAATTTAAAAAATGTATAATTTTTGTTCAAACTCACCATAAAAAGGTTATTGGGATCGCTGATGACGAATTTGGTGTTAGTTTTTCAAAATTCAAAATGGCGAATCAAAAATGGCGGACTTAGAAATTAAAAATTAATCGGATTTGTCTCAAATTTGTTATTTGGGGGTTTTTGGGATCGCTGATGACGAATTTGGTGTTAGTTTTTCAAAATTCAAGATGGCGAATCCAAAATGGCGGACTTAAAAATTAAAAATTAATCAGATTTGCCTAAAATTTGTTATTTGGGGGTTTTTGAGATCGCTGATTACGAATTTGATGTCAGATTCTCAAAATTCAAAATGGTAGATCCAAAATGGCGGACTTAAAAATTTAAAAAGCAATCGGTTTTGCCTAAAATTTGTTTTTCGGGAGTTTTTGAGATCGCTGATTACGAATTTGATGTCTATGGTTAGGAATTTGATGGCAGCTTTTCAGAATTCAATATAATGGATCTAATATAGTTAACGTAATATGAAACATTAATCAGATTTGCTAAAAATTCATTACTGTGATATTTTTGGGATTGCCGATTCTATATTGAGTATTAGAAATTCGATATTTTGAATGCAATAACGCTGAAATATTAATTGCCAGCTATGTGATTGCTGCTGATTTTTATGTTTTGTATAGAAATTATTATGAATAAAGCGATACTCAAATAACCCTAAAGAACTTAGATTTTTAAATAAATAAATAACGATAATTTGTCCAATTTGTATTTAATTCTCAAAAGCTGACATCAAATTCCTAATCATAGACATCAAATTCGTTATCAGCGATCTCAAAAACACCCGAAAAACAGGTTTTAGGCAAAGCGGATTGATTTTTAATTTTTTAGGTCCGCCATTTTGAATTTTGAAACACAAACACCAAATTCGTCAACAGCGATCCCAAAAACCCCCAAATAACAAATTTTAGGCAAATCCGATTAATTTTAAAGTCCGCCATTTTGAATTCGCCATTTTGAATTTTGAAATATAAACACCAAATTCGTCATCAGCGATCCCAAAAACCCTCAAATAACAAATTTTAGTCAAATTCGATTGATTTTTAATTTCTAAGTCCGACATTTTGGATTCGCCATTTTGAATTTTAAGAAACTAACACCAAATTCGTCATCAGCGATCCCAAAAACCCCTTTATGGTGAGTTTGAACAAAAATTATAAATTTTTCTAATTTTGGGCGCCATATTAGATTTGCCATCTTTAATTTTAGGAAATAATATGAAATTTTGTTAATTTATCATATAATTTAATGTTGTAGGCCCTGTAGCATTTTTAAAATTGGGTTTTTCTTCTTTTTTTAATATGAAAAAGAATTGGTCATAGTGTTTTTTGTCATTAAATTATATATAGTTCATTAGGAAATTAATATTTCAAAAAGGGCCCAACGGCATTGAAAAGCTGACATATTTACCTTTAATTTGAGCTATTATAAAAGATTTTTGGATTAAATTTGAAATGGAGAGAAGGGGTGGCCCACTTGAGAAAGAATGCCTCAAATATATTTTTTTTTTAATATAAGAAATATTTTCATTCAAATAATAAAAATAATTCGATAAATAACATTTGGAGCATATAATAAAATTCTTTCTTTTTTGCAATTGCAGAAATTAATTGCAATATAATGTGTAGAATAAGAAGTGCGCGAGACTCGTTGCTATACACAAATTACTTAACTATTTTTACGGTCCTTCTTGCTCCGCTTTCCATTTGACTTGATTTCTGCGTTTTCAATGTTTTTTTTAAGATTCCTGTCTCTCTTGATTTATTTATTACTTTCGATAATTTGTTCTTTCGCCAGAATTTTACGCGGATATCGAAATTATTCAACCTTATAGAAAGACTACTCTCTTCAATATCAATTTCCGTCTCAATTTTCTGTCAAAAATTTGCCAATATACTTTTACTTAAAATTTTTTTCATTACATTCCATTTTTGCTAATTTATTGAATAATTAACTATATCAATATTAATTAATTTTAATATTAGTAAATTTTAATTATTGTAAATATAATTATATCTGTTTATTTATATTAATTTCCATTTATTTCTATACATTTCTATCTATTTTTATTTTTTTTCTATTTATTTATATTTATTTCCATTTATTTTTATACATTTCTATCTATTTTTATTTTTTTCTATTTATTTTTATTTATTTATTTAATAATTTAAAAAATGATATTTTCGGATAGTCGAGTTAATTTTTATTAAAATTTCGACTTTATTTTAAACATTTTTTATTTATTTAGGTAACTTTTAATTTAAAATTGAAAAAAAGTTGAAATATTAACTAATTCAGGTTTGGAGAGAATGGTTAAATTTATTTTTAATTTTATCAATAAAAATTATCTATAAATAAGTAAATAAATTTTTTTTGAGGGAAAATAAAATTTTTATTTGGATCAATAAAAATGAATGTGTAACAAATTTACATTTGGCTGTGAGACGAATATATCTGTTAGGTTATAAAGAATAGGTATAAAGATCTTTATTATTATTTTTATGACTATTTTTATTATTATTTTTCTTATTATTAGTAATTAGTGTTTTATGAATAATAATTTGTGTGTGGATTTATATTTAAATTTTTGTGCGAATATGAAAATACTGAAAGCGCAGTAGGTCGATAAAAAGAGTCAGCTAGTGTATCTAACGTCCCCTCCTTTGTGTTTGTCTTCTAGCGCAGGCGCGACAGTCACGAAAAGCAACTGCGCTTGCGCCACTCTCACTCTCCCATTGGTTGAAAATAGTGGCGCAAGCGCAGTCGCCCCTCTTTGCGCATGCGTCTCTAGAGAGAGTAAGAAGAGGGGACGTTAGATCCACTCTGACTCTTTCTATCCACTTGACGCTTCCACCAATTCGTACCGACTCAGATTTTTTATTTTTATATTAATAAAATGAACATATTTGTGTTCATTTTACTAATGCTAAAATTGATTTACGATATTAAATACATAATATATTTACTGAATAGTAAATTGAACGGGGTATATTGTTAATTAATGAATTAAAATAGAAAGTAAGATTAACACCAACAACTAATTATCACAATTGAGTTTACAATTCATCCCTCTCGGGCCAGTCCTCCTTAATCATATCGGCCCCCTTCTCGGCAATCATCAAAGTAGCCGAATTAATATTTGCGCTCGGAATTTTGGGCATTATCGACGCATCAATAACGCGAAGTCTCTCGACTCCATGAACTTTGAGTCTTGGATCAACGACAGCTCCCTTATCACTACTCGGTCCCATTTTCGCCGTTCCCACTGCATGATAAACGGTATTGTAGGTGTGCTTAAAATTACACTTCCAATAATCGTCAGAGTCGTATTTCGTGTCCCTACAGCCGGGAATGTCGAATTTATTCCACTTGAAACCGGCATTCTGCAGTGTTTTTGTCTTCATCAGTGAGCGAAGGAACTCTATTCCCTTGAGTAATGTTTTCACGTCATCCGGATGCTTCAAGTAGTTGGCGATTATTTTCACTCGATCCTTGGGATCGTTGCTTCGTAATTTCACTTCTCCGACACTTTTTGGATTAAGGACGGTCATCAGGAGGAATATGAGATCGTTTTTCGATGCAGCTTCAAGAAGTTGAGTGTTAAGCTCGTCTTCTGTGCTGAATGCTTGGAGCATTATGTTCAGTGGCAATAGGTAGTTTTGGGGGAAATGCGCGTTGTGAAATTCGACGTTTGGATATTTTGAGGATGGATCGTCGACGTTGACGAAGGCCAGGAGGTCGATGCCACCGGTTGCTGCAAGTTCACCTGGGGAAAAATTGAGGAAAAACTTAGAATCGACGTGACGCTAAAAAAATTTGTAAATTGACCTCTATTTCCATAAATTTTTCTGATAAATGGAATTTTTGCAACGAATTTTATTCAATATGCAATTAATTGGCTTTAGGATTAGTGAAAAAAGAAGATTCATGAAAGAATTCAAATTTTTATAAAAATAATTTAATTCTTGCGAAGAGTTTTATAAAGATTTTTAAATAATTGATTTTTTTCGACTAATTTTATGTAAATTCTAATTTAAATAATTGAATTCCTGAGATATTTTTATTATTCATGAGAAAAATTGAATTTTTGCGAAGACTTTTACAAAAAAATTTTTAAAACACTTGAAGTCTGTTTGGAAATTTTATGAAAATAGTAGATATTGAAAATCGTTTAATTGCGAAAAGTTTTTAAAAATAATTATATTTTACAAAGAAATCTATTAAAATTTTTGACAATAAATAATAATGTCTGTGTGGTATTTTATTAAATTTTTTTGAAAATAATTGAATTCCCAAAAAGCATTCTATTATTTATGGAAAATAATTTAATACTTACAAACGATTTTATTAGAATTTTTTAAAATAAATAAATTTCCAAGAAAAAATTTATTAAATTTAAGAATAATTGAATTCTTGTGATGAATATTGTTATTTATGAAAATTATTGAATTTTGCAAAGAATTTTGTTAAAATGCCTCAAAATAGTTGAATTTTCGGGAATAATTTTATTATTTATCAATATAATTCACTTCTTTCGAAGAATTATTTTTGTATATAATTGAATTCTTGGGAAGAATTTAATTAAAATCTCAAAGAATAATAATTGAATTATTCAAGAAAAATTTAATTAAAATTGTATTTAAAATAATTGATTTCCTTCGAACAATTTTATTAAAATATTTGAAAATAATTAAATTCCTCTGAAAAATTCTAATATTTTTGTAAATATTTCAATTCTTCCAAAGAATTTTAAAGAAACTTTTTATTTAAATAATAGATTTTTTCGAGAAATTCAAATTAAATTTTTAAAAATAATTACATTTTTTGAACAATTCCTGTAAAATTTTATTAAAAGTAATTGAAATCCTGCGATGAATTTTATTATTTATAAAATAATTGAATTCTTGCTTAGAATTTTATCAAAAATTTATTTAAAAAATTGAATTTCCATGAAAAATGTTATTTCTTAGTGAAAGTAATTGAATTATTGCAAAGAATATTGTATACAAAATTTTGTTAATAAATAATTGATTTTTTCGAAATTTTTTTGAAATCGCTATTCTAAATTAATTGAATTCCTGTGGAAATTTTATTATTTATGAAAATAACTGAATTTTCGATTAATTTTATCAATTTTTTTTCAAATAATTGAATTCTTTTGCGAAATTTTATGAAAATAGTATAGATATTAAAAATCATTGAATTTCGAAAAAATTTTAAAAATAATTAAACTTTGAAAGAATTCTATTAAAATTTTTGACAATAAATAAATGTTTGTATGGTATTTTATTAAATTTTTTTAAAAATAATTGAATTCCTAAAAAGCATTTTATTATTTATGAAAATAATTGAATTTTGCAAAGAATTTTATTAAAATGCCTGAAAATAACTGATTTTTCGGGAATAATTTTGTTATTTATCTTTAATAATTGAATTTTTTCGAAGAAATATTTATGTAAATAATTGAATTCTTGGGAAGAATTTTATTAAAATCTAAAAGAATAATTGAATTATTTCAAAAAAATTTTATTAAAATTATATTTAATTATTGATTTCGTTCAAACAATTTTATTAAAATATTTGAAAATAATTGAATTCCGGTGATAAATTCTAATATTTTTGTAAATAATTGAATTTTGAATAATTTCATTTTTTTGAGTAATTGAAATCCTGCGATGAATTTTATTATTTATGAAAATAATTGAATAGTTGCAAAGAATTTTATTAAAATTTTCAAAAATAATTCAATTCCTGGGAAGAATTTTATTATTTATGAAAATAATTGAATTGTTGAAAAAAATTTTATTACAATGTTTAAAAAGAATTGAATTTCTGTGAAAAATTTTGTTATTTTTGAAAATAATTGAATTTTTCATAAGAACTTTATAAATATTGTTTTAAATAATTTATTTTTTTGAAATATATAATAAATATTCTGAAAATTTTATTTTAAATAATTGAATTCTTGTTGAAAACTTTATTTGCAAAAATAATTGAATTTTTCGATTAATTAATTTAAAATACTATTAAAAACAATTAAAATTCTTCTATGAGTTTTACTATTTATATGAAAATAATTGAATTCTTGCTTAGAATTTTATCAGGAATTTTTTTAAATAATTGAATTTCCATGATAAATGTTATTGTTAGTGAAAATAATTGAATTATTGTGAAGAATTGTTTAAAACTTTGTTAAATAATTGATTTTTTCGAAAATGCTATTCTAAATTAATTGAATTCCTGTGGAAATTTTATTATTTATGAAAATAATTGAATTTTAGATGAATTTTATCAATTTTTTTTAAAAATAATTTAATTTTTCTAAAATGGCGAAGTAAAATAAATAAAAATACAGAAAACATACCTCTTTTGTGAACCAAAAATGTGTAGGCAGAGTCCAACAGATCACTAGGCTTCCAACCGGCATAAGATTTGTTGTCATAGGTAAACTGTACACCAGTGGTCAGTGCATGATCCTGTAAATTTTGTCCCACTGGCAAATCGACTAAAGTAGAAATTCCAAATTCCTTGAGATGATTTTTAGGACCTATTCCCGAGAGCATTAGCAATTTTGGAGTCTCGATGGCGCCAGCGGATAGGATCACTTCTTTTGAGGCCTTCACGTCGATGACACGATCGTCGCTCAATTTGACACGAACGCCAGTTGCCTTCTTGCCAGACATTATAATTTTTTGTCCTGTTGCCGATGTGATAACGTATAAATTTTCTCTATCCTTTGCCGGAGCAAGGAAAGCCTCTGCTGCATTCACTCGCAAGCCATTGTTCAATGTTCCGTCTGATTTTCCAAAACCAATGTAGTCCTTTGCGTTGAAGGATTCCAATTCTGGAATTCCCAAATCACGTCCGGCCTGGAAATTAGATTTTAGGTTTATTTCTTTAAAATATGTACCTAGTGGGAAAAGAAGATGTTTTCCGATGAGTTTGTAAGTTACTGCTCTCGCTTCGCTCAAGCAGCTACTTACAAACTCATCGGAAAACTTCCTCTTTTTTTTCTGATTTCTAGGCCTGGAATTTTGAGTTTTTCCCTAATTTCAAGCCTCGGGTTGACTTTAAGACGCAAAAAAATCGCTTTAGTCGATTAAAAATGCAAAAAAACGAAAAGCTCGTTTATTTAATTCAGAGTTGTCAGACAAATTTAATTTTGTATTCTCCTGATTTTTCTCTTTCACTGATTTCACTCTAAATCAATTATTTTTATTAATTTTTCTGAAAGTTCTTCAAGAGTTCAATTATTGAAATACAAAAATTCAATTTTTTATAATAATTGCAATTGACCATGATTTTTTAATATTATTAAGGTATAATATTTTCAGAAATTGTAATAAAGAACTTTTTAAACATTAATTTTTTTTAAATATTTTAAAATAATTTTTCAATTATACACAATTGAAAAATTTCCAAATAATTGGAATTTGGTAATATCTTTTAAAAATAATTTAAATTTTCAAACATCTTTTCAAAATAATTGAAATTGGGAAGAATCTTATCAAAATAATTGAAGTTTGGAAGAATAATCAAAGTTTTGAAGAATTTTAATTATAAATTTTAGCAATTTTGTAAGAATTATTACAAATAATCATTGAGAGAAAGCTTTTAATTAAAAATTCTAAAAAATAAGTAATTGAATTGAAATCATTAAATAATTTTTGAGAAGTTGCAATAAAGATTTTAATAAATAATAATTGAATTTCAAAGGGTTTCAAATTAAAATTTTTCAAAATTTCAATTTCAAAAAATTCAAAAAAGTCAAAAAAAGTTTCGAATAATTGAAATTTTATAAAATTGAATTGAAATCAAGTGGATTCCAGAATTATTTTAAGTGAACTTTACAATAAATTTTTTAACAACTGAATTCTGAAGAAAATTTCTTGAAAATTATGAAAAATAATTGATTTAGAGAAATATTTTAGTTAAAAATTCAAAAAAATAATTGAATCGAAATCGTGGAAATAGTTTTGTATAGTTCAATATCGTTTAATATTATAAAAAATGGAATTTCAATAGGTTTCAAATTAAAATTTTTAATAATTTTATATGAAAATCTTTAAGAAGATAGTTTTTTTTAAATCTTTTCAATTTTTTTGAAAGTGGTTGAACTTTTTAATATATTTAATTGAAAGACTGTCGAATAATTAAAATTTCGTAAAATTAAATTCGAATCAAATGAATTTGAGAATTATTTTAGGTGAACTTTATTTATTTATTTTTTGAATAATTGAATTCTGAAGGAAATTTCTTAAAAATTATAAAAAATAATTGATTTAGAGAAATATTTTAGTAAAAAGTTCAAAAATATATAAATTTAATCAAAATGCTAGAAATAGTTTTGGAAATGTTACAATATTGAATTTAATTAAAAAAAAATTGAATTTTAATCGGTTTCAAATTAAAATTTTAAATAATTTTCATTAAAAATTTTAAAAAAGTTACTTTTTTTTTAAAATTTCTAAAAAATTTGTTTATAATAGTTTAATTTTTAAACATATCTAATTGAAAAATATGTGAATAATTTTCGAAAAATTCTTCTCAAAAATTAATAAAAATAATTAATTTGCAGAACATTTTTAATTAAAAATTCTAAAAATAAATAGTTGAATTAAAATCATGAAAGTAATTTTAGAAAAATTACAGTATCAATTCTGATAAATTATTGAATTTCAAAGAAATTGAAACATAAAATTATTGAAAATTTTAATTTCTTTAGGAGAAATAATTACAATGATTAAATATTTATCTAAAATAAGCTGTTGCTTTTCTCGAAAAATTTTCTAATTAAAAAATATTAACGAATAAATGTATTAGAAACATTGTTTTTTATAATCCACAAGTTTTGAACTTTCAAGTGAAAGAAATATTTGTTATTAAAAATATTTTCGAAAATTGCGCTGATTGCAACAAAATAATAATAATCTTAAATTTAACATTAAGAAAAAAATGTTTAATTTAATTATTTTTAAAATAAATTTTCAAATTAAATTTTTAAAATTTTTAAATTATTTAATAAAAATAAATAATAATAATTTTAAAAAATTTACTAAATATTTACTAAATATTTAATTTTAAAAAATTGTTTAAAAATAAATTTAGAAACTTTGTAATTAGTAATTAATTTTCTTGAAACATGACGCAAAATAATTGTAATAAAATTTTAATTTGAAGAAAAAATAAATAAAGTTCGTGTTCATTTGAACGTTCAGAACTTTAGAAACATTTTTCTTATGTACATGGAGAGAAAACAATTTAAATTTTATAAAAGTATTTTACAATTTGTGGAGAGTATTTTACAATTTGCGTAATTTTTATATAAAAAAATACTAAAATTTAATAAAACTTTTAAGAAATTTAGTGTATTTATATTAAATATCAAGAATATTAATTAAATTTTAATATAACTTTACTAAATTTCACTTAAGTTTTTTTAATGTTTAGAACTTTTTATATCAATCTTTTGCTTATTTATGTTACATTTTTTCCCAAATTGGAAAATCTAATACATATTGTCTCTCCGTGTATTTTTTTTTAAATTGTTTTTCACTTGAACGTTCAAAACTTTTGGATCATAAAAACAATGTTTCTAATTTTTAAAATATTCTTTGGGGGTCAAAGAAGTCAAAATTCTGTCTGGAAATTAAATAATAAAATAAAATTTCGCCGACAATTCTGTAGTGAAATTTTTAGCTCCTCCAAAAGAAAGATTTTTTCCTTATGAAATTCACAGAGCAATTTTATAAAATGTAACAAATTTTCCATATAGTCTACAATGAAGTAAAGTTGCTCTGTATTTTTTCATATACTAAAGAATTGCAACACTTTACAAAATTGCCTTCTGCCAATCTGCATCTAAATTCTAAATTTCCCTAAACGATATAATATAAATCAAAGAGTGGAAAAAAAAAGTATTTTTAAAAATGATTTTGAAACTATTTCCCATCATGCGTTAGGTATATTTTTTATTCTCTTTCATAACTTTCCGGAACAAATAAATATACATGCGTTCCTCAATTACCTGTATTAAAAGATCGGACATAGAACTCGAGGAGTGATTGAACTTTCGAATGGGCAAGGGACCATTTGTTCCGAAATATTTGCTGCCTAATCGAGCTGCAAATTCGGGATTATAACTTTCGGACTTTCGGAAATAGGGTAAAACTTGCTCGTAACTCCAGCCGTCGTTTCCCATTTTTGCCCATTGATCGTAATCGCGATCATTGCCATGGACATGTAGCATTGCATTTGTTACGGAACTGCCGCCGAGTGCCTTGCCTTTCGACCAGTGGCACACTTTGCCTTTCATTCCTTGGCAGTAATTTTCATTTGGCTCGACTTCATATTTGTAATCCTCATCGCTGTGCTGCAGTGCTAAGAGCATCGATGGAATTCGACTCTTCACCGATGGATTCTTACCCTCCTCGATGAGGAGAATCTTCCAGCTGCTCACTTCCGATAGGCGACTCGCAAGAACGGAACCTGCCGTTCCACCGCCGACGATTACAAAGTCGAATTCTAAATTTTCATCAACTAATTCGGATGTTCTGTCGGGGGGATAAATGTTGTCGTTATTTAGAGCGCATTGTGCGCCTAAGAGGGTTCGCACTAATTCGATGAAGAGCAGGCCCGTTGGGGTACCACTCGCTGCCAGGGCGCAACTTTGGCCTATGCAAGCCTCCATTATTGTTTTCTGAAAAATTTAAAATCAAAAAAATTTATCAGGACTTCGATTTTTAGTTGTTTTTTTGAGTGCGCGAATTATTTTTCTACTCTCTAAATCTGAATTAGTAGAAAGTTACTAATAAAATTAAAATGATAAAAAGTCGTCCACCAAATAATTTGTTTTACTAACAATTAGTGTGAAACTTTACTAATTTAGTAGAATTTTACTAACTCTTAGTAGAATTTTACTGAAATTAGTACAATTTTTTTAATTTTAGAATTTTACTAATAATTATAGGGATCACAGTTAACTGAGACCCCTTTTTTACCTAATCCCCTTTTTTATACCCTTAAATTAATGAAATACCCTAAAATACCCAAAATCATACATTTTTTCCCCCTTTCCCCTAATTTTTAAGAAAAAATTATAAAAATTGTCATTTTTTTGTAAGTTAGAAAAAAAAACTTTGGAATTTTTGACAAATTGTACTAATTTCAGTATAAATTTTACTAAATTCAAAGTACAGGCCTCGGATAAACTTTAACGAACCAAAAAAATCGCTTTAGTCGATTAAAAATAGAAATAAAAGTCTTCTGGAATTTATTAATTTCTAAAAATTACAACTATAACCCTTCCAAAATTCAATTATTTTCTACAATTTTGAACTAAACTTCATCTCTAAATCAATAATCTATATTAATTTTTAATTTTTCTCAATAATTGAAACTGTCCATTTTTCTATACAAAGATATTAAATTAGAATATTTTCAAAAATATTAATAAAGAAATTCTTAAAATTAATTTTTTTTTAAATATTTATAAATAAATTTTGAAAGACAATATTTTTGCAATTTATTACATAAAATTAAAAAATTTCCAAAAAAAATGAAATTTCGCGAAATCTTTTAAAAAATAATTGAAATTTTGGTAAAGTCTTTTAAAGAATAATTGAAATTTGATAAATACTTTTCAAAATAATTGAATTCTTAGAAAATATAAAAAATGTAATCAAACTTTTCAAGAATTTTAAATAAAAATGATTTCTTCAAAATTTTAATATGTCAAAAAAAAGGCAATTTAAAAAAATTTTAATTTACTTGCGGTTAAAAAATTAGAATAAAAAAATTCTGAGAATTAGTTAGTTTATTCAAAAATATTTTAATATTATTTTTACAACCTAATTTTCATTAATTACTACCTCATAGAGGAAGTATTTTTATTCTTATTAAATTTACACTTCAAGATTTTTCATTAAAATTTTCGAGAAATCAATTATTGTTTCCAAAATTTTCAATTAAAATTCTTTAAAAGTTAATTTTCAAAAATTATAATAAAATACTTGAAAAAAATGATTCATTTTGAATTAAATTTTTCAAAATTTCAATTTTTAAAAAAATTAAAAAAAATCAAAAAAATCAAAATCAAAATCTTTTTAATTATATATATCAAAAAGATAATTAGAAAAATTATTCAAAAATAACTTTTTAAAGATTTGTCTATAGTTATAGTTTTCACACTATAATAATCGAAATAAGTTGCATTTTATATTAAAAATGTGGTATATTGTTTCAAAATTTGGAAGAAAAGTCGAAAAAGTCGTAATTTTTTAATATTTAAACATTTAATTATTGAATTTTATTAAAATTTTTAAAAAATGATTAAAATCCGCTCAGAATTTTATTACAATTTTTTTTTTTAATAATTTAACTGATTCAAAGAATTTTACTAAAATATTGAAATAATTGAATTCTGTCGAAGAATAGATATTTAAATTCTTTTAAACAATTTTATTATAAAGTTTTCCTAAATAATTAAATTAATTTAAAGATAAGTTTTTCGAAAATAATGTGGCTCTTTTAATAATATTAATTGAAAACTTTAAAAATAATTAAATTAAACAAACAATATTCTTCATCTTTAAAAAATAATCGTGTCTGTTAATAATTATAATTAAAAATTTGATTATTGAATTTTATTGAGATTGTATTGAAAATAATTGAATCTCCAAGAAGAATTAAAATTTTTTTTAAATATAATTGAATTTCTGCGAAGAATTTTATTACTTTTGAAAATAATTGAATTTCTGCAATAATTTGTAATTTCTCCAAAATTTAATTTTTTTAGTGTTTTTAACTAAAATTTTATTCTTATATAAATCCATTATTTTAAAAAATTTTTTAAAAAAGTTCTTTCAGAATTTTCAAATTCATTTGTTTATTATTCAATTTTACAAAATTTCCATTATGCGGAAATTCTTCAATTTTTAAAGAAATCCGCAATTAAACTTATTTTAAAAAAATTAATTCCACAGAATTGTTAGTTAAAAATTTGAAAAATTCAAATTTTCAAAGATTTTAATTTGAAACCTTTTCAAAATTCAATTATTTCTAAAATTCATTTTTAGAACTAAAAAAAAATTCATTTTTTTAACTGAAATTCATTTTTAAATAAATTTTTAATAGAAAATTCTACGAGAATTCAATTATTTAAATACAAAAATAAATATGTAATTTAATTTAAAATTTACTAACTAATTTGAATTAGTGACTAACTTTTTGCTTTAAAATTAGTAAATTTTAGTAATAAATAAATTAATAGAAATTGCTATTTAGTAAATTTTACTGATAAATGAATAGAAATTACAATTTAGTAAATTTTACTAATAAATTAGTAGAAATTATTATTTTACTCAAGTATAAACTATTATTTGATAATAGCCTAGTAGCAGATTTTATAAAGAAAAGTAGAAAATTATTTTTAAAAAACTGAACAACTTAGATTGTAGAAAACATTAAAATATGAATATTCAAATTTTTATTAATCTAATCACTAACATAGTCTTTACAATATGGTAATTTTGTTATCTTTTACGATTCTAAAATTATTAAATTCCTTTAATGATTATTATTGCATATTACTTCGTTAATCACGGTTAGGGACATGACATGAATTTTTATTATTTTTGTTTACAAAAAAAATGACATTTGATACTTTTGCTTTAATTTTTATATAAATTAAGTTCACAATGTTTTATTTATTTCATAAAATTATAAAAATAAATACTCTCTTAATCTGAATTAGTTAAAATGGTTAAAAATAACTAATTATTAGTAAAATCGTCGATGAATTTTTGCTTCAGCAATTAGTAAAAAAATATCCAAGTATTAGTAAATAATTACTTACTATTAGTAAATCAATAATTACAAAAATAGTCAAATTTTATTAAAAAGAATTAAAAGTACTTTATAGTGTGAAAGAAATTTATTTGAAACACAAAAATTTTATTTAAATTAACAGAAATATTATAATTGTACCAATAATTTCTATAAATCACAGTAGTACTAATGACATTTAATTGGCAAAAAAATTATTTAACCCCAGCAAAAAATGATTATTAATCATTAATAAAATGTTTATTCCATCAGTTTCTCTTAAAAGTTGTAAATTTTTGATAATTATCCATTAAAACAATGAGATTTACCTTGTTTTGTTGGCTTTTATTCAAAAGACGCCAGTTGTTTGTAGAACTTCATGAACTCGGTTCTATTCGTCAACGCAGTCTGACGAAGAATGAGATTCAAAGATATTGCATTGAAAACCCCTCCTTATTTAGGATTCAAAAAAAAAAAAACTTTTTTTCGTCTGCTTTAGCATAAGGTTTACAATTTCTCATTTAAATGATATTTTGTTCCATATAATATTGACATTGCGATAGTCTTACAATTATGCAACAATGTATATTAGTTTCAGAAAATAAATTTTTTTCTTCAATTTTTTCCATCAACATCAGTCATTAATTTTATTTAATAGTCAAGTATCAACATTAGATTATTATTTGAATTAAATTTTCTCATTATTTTCGGGACTTGAAAATTTCGTTTATTATTTTTTGTTCTTTATGAATATAAATTAAGTTCGAAAAAAAGTTCTTATAGAATTACGTTCAAAAAGAGATTCTTATACATCCTTGAGAAACAATAGAGCAAAAAAATAATCGATAAAAAATAGTTGTTGTAATTTAGTTTTTATAATAGGAAGTTTTTTTTTAATAAAGTATAATAAGAATATTCAAATTAATATAATATGATAAAATAATAAATTGCTGTGACAAATCCTTGCGAAACAACTGTCATCTTCAGAACTATAATTTATTATAAAACAAAATATTAAAAAAAAAATTAAATTGTATTTTAAAAATTTAATTGACTTAAATAAAAATTATTTGATTCAAGTAAATATTTATTTGATAATAGGAAAGCAATCGATCATTTGAATCAAATAATTTTTTTAGTGTTGGCATATTAATAAATATGTTAAAATAACAAGTATTTAAAAAAAAAATTTTTTAATTTAATTCAATTATTTTTGTGATAATAGTAGGATATTTAAAAATAATTTCCTTCTTCAAAAAATCTCTCCCATGATCCTTAGTTATATATTTCTATGAGGGCAAAGTCAACAATGTACTTTTTGAAATGCTAATAAAGATTATCTATTGTTGTGTGATATTCACGTTTCGGTTGAAAATAGAATTCTCCTGAGTGTACATTATATTTTCAAAATAATGTTTTCTTTTTTAATTTGACAATTTTCTTTTTAATCAAATAACGTTTTTCTCTCTTCAACATTTTCTTTTTAAATCTTTATATATTTTAACTTCAAAACAAAAAAATATCTCATCTATTTTTAATGAAAATAATAATGAGAACCGGAAATAAAATAAAAATAAAGTATCTGTACAATTAAAACAGTAATAATTATCAAAATTAAAAAAAAATAGTTACAAATTTAAAACAGCAATAATTAATAAATAAATAAATTAATTAATAAATAAAACAAAATAATTAACAAAGTACAAAATAATTATAAAATTAAAACATTATTAATTATAGAAATAAAAGTATAATACAGTCAACTCTCGATAAACTGAATTTCAAGAGACGTAGAAACATTCAAATTATCGAAAATTTTATTTATCGAATATTCTAAGTACCAAAACTTTTTTCTAGGGACCCGAAACTAATTTTAGTTTTGGATAATTTGCTATTAAAAGAATGAAACATTTTTAAATAGAAAAAATTTATTACAAAAATGACTACTTAATGAATAATGGGAATAATGTATAATTTTTCTAAACGGATGACAATTTTATTTTCTTCGTTTACCACTTCGTAGCCATGTGTATCGAATTAAATCGGCAGCTTTTTCAGCTACCATAACAATGGGCGCTATTGGATTTGCATTTGGTAGAATTGGAAATACGGACGCGTCAGCAACTCGAAGATTCGAGATCCCGTGAACTTGAAGCTGTGAATTAACCACAGATTCTGGGTCACTTGCCGATCCCATTTTACAAGTTCCCGATTGATGATTCTCTGGACCAGTTTTGACACGAATTATACATTCCCAATAAGCGTCGGTATTGAAGTGGTACCTAGAATGTGTAATAATTGTAATAATTGACAGAAGTTTCTTCATTTCCTTTTTTTAAGTACTTTTTTCATATCTTTTATCAATTTTTAATTTTTTTAATCTAATTTGCAAAATTTATCACTTTATAAATCTGTAGAATCAATTTTTGAATTTCTTTTTAAAAAAATAGCCGTCTTATTGGCTTCTCCATTTTGAATTTTGAAAAACTGACATTAGGTTCGTAATCAGCGACCCAGAAAACCCGTAAGTAACAAGTTTCAGTCAAATCTGATCAATTTTCAAAAATTTTAGTAGCCATATTGGTTCCACCATTTTGAATTTTGAAAAACTGACATTACGTTCGTAATTAGCGACCCCAAAAACCCGTAAGTAACAAGTTTTAGTCAAATCTGATCAATTTTCAAAAATTTTGGTAGCCATATTGGTTCCACCATTTTGAATTTTGAAAAACTGACATTACGTTCGTAATCAGCGACCCCAAAAACCCGTAAGTAACAAGTTTCAGTCAAATCTGATCAATTTTCAAAAATTTTGGTAGCCATATTGGTTCCACCATTTTGAATTTTGAAAAACTGACATTACGTTCGTAATCAGCGACCCCAAAAACCCGTAAGTAACAAGTTTCAGTCAAATCTGATCAATTTTCAAAAATTTTGGTAGCCATATTGGTTCCACCATTTTGAATTTTGAAAAACTGACATTACGTTCGTAATCAGCGACCCTAAAAACCCGTAAGTAACAAATTTCATACAAACCTGATCAACTTTCAAAAATTTTGGTAGCCACATTGATTCTACAATTTTGAATTTTGAAAAACTAATATTAGGTTCGTAATCAGCTACCCCAAAAACCCGTAAGTAAGGGGCCGTCCATAAACTACGTCACGCCTTAGAGGGGGGGGGGTGTAATTCATTTTTTGTGACGTTCTGTAGAAAAAATGGCGCTAACGCATGTAAAATTTGTGACGAGGGTAGGGGGGGGGGTGGAAAAATTATGCAAAATAGTGTGACGTAGTTTATGAACGGCCCCTAACAAATTTCAGACAAATCTGATCAACTTTCGAAAATTTTGGTAGCCACATTGATTCCACTATTTTAAATTTTGAAAATCCGATATCAGATTCGTCATCAGCAATCTCAAAAGTCTACCGAATTAGAAATTTCAGCCTAATCCGCCTAATTATTTAGCTAAAAGCCACCCTTTTGTGAATTAGAAACGATTAAACTGCAATACATCATCAGATGGCCCATTCGCAGTTGTGGGCACCAACAGATTCTATCGATGCCCACAACTGCGAAGGGGTTAGAAAAGTTCCTCACAGTAATTATTAATATCCAGTAATTTAATACCTAGAACAGAGTTTATTTGGTTCCTGCTCCAGTCTCATTCCCCATTTCCTCATTGACTTCGTACTAATTAGTTTAATGACTTTTCTGACACCTTCAATGAGTATTTTCAAATCGGTTTCATTGGTAAAGTAATTGGGATAGATGAGAGGATGATCCAACGGATTGGTAGAACGTAATTGTAGATATCCCCGACTTTTGGTGATGACCACCGTTGGTCTGGCCACAATTTCTCTTCTATTCGGACAGCTACCTATCCTACCATCCGGGCATTCGAATTTGTGCCCCGTTTCCGGGCACCCAGAACTGAATCCATCAAAGAATACCTAAAAGTAATTGCATTCCTTGTTAAAGTTGAAAAACAATTAGTTCTTCAAATAATTTTTATGCCACAAATGATCGAAACCTCGTCTATTGTGGTCGAAGTGTTTAGAACCCGAAGTCTACACTTTAGGTAACGCAGGGGAAGAAAGAATTGCGCAGGCGCGTAGCGGTTGCGCGAGTCATTTTTCCCCGGCGTCACCACTTTTTTTCCCTCTGACATCATCCAGTCTGTACACTTTAGGTTTCGACCACTTCCTCCATAAACGAGGTTTTCCAGCATGGCAAGCATAAAATAATACTCAAATAAACCTGTAAATCGGAAATTCCAGGACTAGCATACGAACTCTCCATAAACGCAGTGACTTGCGTAAGACCCGTACTCGACAACGGTCCAGTTCTATCCTTGATGTACTGATTAACAGCCTCTATGGTCATTGTCTCATAGTGATCATCCTTGATACTCATGGGAATTCCCACCGAGACGTGATTGAGTAAAATTCTCCCCACTGGCAAATCTTGATAAACGGTAATCCCCAACTTTTGAAGATCCTCCTTTGGACCAATGCCAGACAACATTAACAATTGTGGCGAACCAATTGCACCGGCTGTTAAAATAATCTCCTTATCGGCCTTCATGATCCGTTTCTTGCCCTCCTTGTCTATTAACTCAATTCCATTAACTCGCATGTCCCACTTATTGAGTAGAATTTTGCTCACGTGGGCGTTCGTCAGAAGGCGTAGGTTTGGTTTATCGGCCACTGGTCTTAGGTAGAATTTCGACGTTGTTCCTCTTAGACCACCGGCTGTCATCATTGGAGCAACGATAAAACCTGTTTGATTATAGGCTCTTAGTCTCTCCGTCTCGTAGCCTAATTCCCTCGCGGCTTTCAGTAGTTCGTCGGAAAAATCCGGTTTATGGGAGAAGAGATCTATATTTATAGGACCACCGGTTTGGGTCTTTTTGAAAATTTCATCTTGGACTAATTTCGTGTTTACTGGATTCTCAGCGCGTTCGAAGTAGTGCTCGATTTCTTCGTATGACCAGCCGGGATTTCCGGCACGCGCCCACTTGTTATAGATCTCAGGGTGTCCTCGAACGTACATCATTCCGTTCATGCCGCCTGTTCCCGAGACCATTTTTCCTCTTGGCCAGGCGCATTTGCCATCGGTTTCTGCAGGAAATGAAAATTGAAAAGTTAACCTCAACCTTCTCCTGTCCTTCCACGTCATCAAGAATTCTATTCTCATGGCGACGACGTCTGGAGGATTTTTTTTTTTTGTTCGAAACTTTAGTTTTTGAATACGTACCCAAACAGGCTGTGGGATATGGTTGTGTCGCTTCCGTCATGTACTTCCAATCGAGAGAAGTGTTTATCGTATTGAAAGCCAGACCCGGTACGGCGGTCAGAGACGGTTCCTCCGGACCCGCTTCCACTAATAAAACTCTCCATGGAGCATGATCGCTGAGTCTTCTTGCTAAAATAGGTCCTGCTACTCCAGCCCCGACAATTATGAAATCGAACCTAGAACCAAACTTTCTTTGTCGTATATTAAAAATTTTCAATTTCGAGGTACTTTTATTCATTGTTTACTATAGACAAACTTTCGACAGACTGACGATTCTATCTTATTACAATAATAATGTGACTGTCAGTAGAAAGATTTTCCTAAACGTAAAATTAAAAGAATATTGAATTTAAATTTAGAGAATTAATTGTAAAGTAAATTAAAGTTTAACCGAACGGATCCGAAATACCGAAGTGGGGCAATGAGTGCGACAGAGAAGTCTCGACGTTTCTCTCTCACTCTCCGTTCGCGCGCCTGCGCGAACTTGCGCCTGCGCAGAGACAGAGAAGTGGGGATAATGAGAGTGAGAGAGAAACGCCGAGACTTCTCTGTCGCTCTCATTATCCCCACTCCAGTTCTTCGGCATCGACTTCAAGAAGCGCAGCGAAAGAACAAAAAGAATTTAATAAGAAGTAGTAAATTTTTTCTTCAACTCTAAAAGTGTGGAATTCGTATAAAGACAATTTGAACATTAAATATTTAAATACTTAACATTTAAATATTTAATACTTAACATTTAAATATTTATTATTTAAATACTTAATTTAAATATTTATTATTTTAATACTTAACATTTAAATACTTAACATTGAAATATTTATTATTTAAATACTATTAACATTTAAATATTTGGGATTTAAATACTTAAGAGACATTTAAACACTTAAAAGACATTTAAATACCAAACAAATATTTAAATAGTAAAAAAAAATTTTTTTTTTGGTAAAAATAATAAAAATTTTAGTAAAATATTTACCATTCATCTTCGGGCACTTGATCGGAACCGACTCGTTTGCATGCCTCTGAAATATCGCATCTCGACATAATTAATGATTGCACCAAGGTCATAAATGGAGTGATATGCTCGCAAGCTTCTTCCATGTATGCAGTATCATTGAAATTGCAATGGCAACATCCTCCCTTCACTGAAAGAGTTGGCTGCGTGTAAAAATAGAAAATTCATCATAATTCCTGCTCTCTTCTTTTTTTTCTTTCCTTTTTCGCGGAAAAATCATTAAAGCGCAATCAAAACAAATTAATTATTGATAAACCACAAAGAGAAAAAATAATTACAAATTTAGTTTTCTCTCTCTCTCTCTCTTTTTAGTCTCTCATAAAATACAATAGTTGGAAACAAGAGTAAATGGAGATGATTGCTATTATCTTTTGCGGTCGAAATTTAGACTTTCTCGCGAATCAAATATTATTGTCCATGGAAAAATATTGGACGAGTAATTTTTATCTCCCATACTTCCGGAAGGAGAAATTTTTACATTCTCATTTTTCTTGAAAAAAAAAGAAAAAAAATAATGGGAAATTTTTTTTTTAAATATTATACAATAATAAGTAAGTGTAACTTACCAGAATGATGCAAGTGAGAAATAAAAGCACTTTCATTTTTCTCGAAGAGATGAAATCTGGAATTGTGATAATTTAGGGTAATTAATTATTGTTTAATTCCTTCCGCGAAAAAAATAATTACCCGACTTTTTATTTGAAATTATATTTAATTGCAGGTGTCAATATTTCATTTAATTATGCAACTATAATACTATAAACAATGGTTTTTTTTTATTTTTTAAATGTTACGTGTATATTATTTAGAGTATTAATTAACGAAGTTATTATTCTAATTGAAATATGAATCAACTCGTTTTTAATTAAGCAATTATCATGGAGTGAATGAATTAAATAACTTGATTCATTGACAAACTTTATAAAATAATTAATTATAATTATAACTTTGTATAAAATATAATAGTCATAGAATTCGTAATAAAAATTGTAAATTGGTTAATAAAATTTTTTAATTGCTTAATAAAATTTATGAATTGGTTAATAAAATTTGCAAATTATTTGATAAAAATTTGTTAAATTAGTTATTAAAATTCGTAAATTGCTTAAGTTTGTGTACTTATTATTAAAGTTTTGTAAATTACGGCATAAAATTTGTAAATAGGTTAATAAAGTTTATAGACTAATTAAATTAATAAATTAAATTTATAAATTGATTAATAAACTTTGGGAATTGTTTAATTAAATTTATAAATTCGTTAATAAGCATTGTTATTAAAATTAAATGATTTTCAACCTTTTCCTATATTCGTAAAACGTTATTTGATGATTCAAACTTTGTAGAAATTTCCTTTTCATAATTATACTTTACAATGTTTATTAATAAATTTACAAATTATATTATACAATCTACAAACTTTATTTATAATCATCGTATTACTTAATAATTAAATATTAATTAATTTTTTATAAACTTTGTAGATTGTTTAATAATTTATTGTTTATTATTTATTATTTTAATAATTAATCAAATTAATTCTTTTTTTAATAAACTTTGTAGATTGTTTAATTAAATTTGTAAATTTAGCTAAAATTTTGGTAATAAATAAATAAATAAATTAGTTTACAGATTTAATTAAATAATCCACGAAGTGTATTAAAATTTAATTACTTTAATTAAGAAAGAAATGTAGTTAAAATAATAAATTTGTAAATTGATTAATTTAATTATTAACAACGTTATTAATAAAATGACAGATTAAATTCTTTAATTTATTTTTTAACAACGTTTAATAATAAATTTACAAATTATTAAACAATCTAAAAACTTTTTTATTATTTAATTTTATTAATTTTATTGTTGCATGAATTATTTAATTTTTAATAAACTTTGTAGATTGTTTAATTTAATTTGCAAATTTTGCCAATAAACGTTGTTAATAAATAAATTAATAAATTTACAGATTTAATCGAAAGAACATACAAAGTTTATTGAAAATCAGTTAATTGATTAAATTGTTAAAATAACTAATATTAAAGAATAAATTATTAAACAACTTATAAATTTAAATAAAAATTAATTAATTTAGTTAATAATAAAGTTTGCAGATTGTTTAATAAAATTTGTAGATTAATTAAATAAACGTTGTAAATTTTTTTGTTTATAATAATTATTAAAAAGAAATTTGTAAACTTATCAAATAAACGCTATTAATAAATATATAAATAAATAAATTTACTGATTTAGTTTAATAGTCTAAAATGTTTATTATTAGAATTAATTTACTTGTTAATTAAATCACTTAATTTTTAATAAATTTTGTAATTTTGTAATTTTGTAATTTTTGTAATTTTTGTTGTAACTTACAAATAAACTTTATTAATGATTAAATATATAAATTTACAAATTTAATTTAACAATTCTCAAAGTTTATTATTACTTAAATTTATTATTAATTAACTTGATTAATTTTTAGAAAACTTTTCAGATTGTTTCATTAATTTTCTAAATTTATCAGCAAACGATGAAAATTGTTTTATTTAATTGGTAAATTAATTAACAAAATTGATTAAATAAATGAAAAGTGATTAATAATAATTTATAAATAATTGAATAAACAAAAAAACAATGCTAAATTTATAAAATATTAAATTAATAAATACGTTAATTGTAAATAAATAGATAAACAATTAAAATGAATTATTAATTAATAAAATTAGCCAATTAGTAAAAGAAATAAAAATTTTCATTACTCTATTAAATTTATCATTATTTAGTATTATTATTATTATTTATTAGTTTATTAAACAAATGAAAAGAAATCAAATCAAATAATTAAAAAAACGAAAAGCAAACAATATTGAGAGGACATTTATTTACCTATAATATCGAGACAGTCGACGTTTGTTGTATTTAATAAAAATTAAAATAATATTAATATCCACTAGAAACACAATATATTCACTTGACCTAAATATACTTTTTAACATTAAAATGAGATCACATTTGAAATACTAGAATTGACATTCAATCAAAATTTTTTCCACTTTTTTTTTGTAAACGCGACGAAGGAATAAAATTTTGAGCGCGCGTGTGTGTCAAACGACGCTCTTCAGTTTGATCATTTTGCTGAATGGACCTTTTTAAAATGAAGTTGGGCTATCGAACTAATTAGATACTCGTTGCGTGTGGGCAGGGCCGAATATAACAAGACTGAGAGTTTGGGGAATATATGACGTCAAAAAAAATTTTTCTCGAGAAGAATATATATATTTTTTTTTTTTTTGGAATTCTTTTTTTATTAAATTTGTCGCGGGTATTTTTTCAATTAAATTTATAGCCTTTGGTTCGAGAGTTTATTTATTTAAAAAAAAAAATTTAGCATCACGAGTATTTTTTTTATTTTGTTTTTGATGCTTTACATAAATATTGGATTTATATTGAGTTTATTTAATTTTTTTATTGAAAAGAAATATACATTTTATCTGACGTAAATTGATAAAATAATAACGCAGCTGTAACTATTTTAATTTTTCCCTGTTTATCGTGTGATTAATCACGATTTTCATAACTTTTGACAATATTGAGTCAATATGAATTGTTTATAATTCTTCGGTGTTATAACTTTCCTTGTTTAAATACGAGAAAAATTTTTATTTAAAAATTTATTGTGTCTCTTACTTTTTTATTTTTTACTTCTGCTTTTCGTTCGGCTTCTTATTTTATTTTTCTTGTATTTTTTTCGCTTGTGTTTTTGTCATCTTTTTGTTTATTTTTGATTATTTAATTCTTTTTTTTCGTATTTTCATTCCTTTTTGTTTTTTATTTATTTTCAGTAAACAAAAATAAGTAAAAAAAAAATTCTCACTTTTTGTTTGTATTTTTACTTATTTTTTGTAAAAAAAAAAAAAAAAAAAGAAGTGAGAAAATTTTTAATATCAGTGTAATTAATTATCTAATTAAGGAAATTATTTATTGACAAAATACAGTTAATCGCCTACTTTGCGTATAATATTGTCGAAATAATATTAATAATGATTCGTTATAATTTAATTACCAGAAGCAATAATAGAATAGCAATAGAATTAATCGTGAAAAAAATCCCTATTTACATAATTGCTTTCTAATTTAATAGAGAAAAAAAAAATGAGAAATTTAAATGGCTGAATTATTTATCGTGTCATTTACATCAATATTCAAAACCATCCTTTCATCGAAATCATTTTTCACACAAGTAACTTTCCCCTCCTGACCTTGACTAGTTTTTGCATATTATATTCTTTTTACCTCAATTTTAAAGTGTCTTCCTTTTTAAAAGCTTTCATTATACCGGAAGTTTATAATATTTACTAACCGGTCAGGAATTTCCTCTACAAAAATCTAATCACACCTTGAAAGCAAAAAAAAAAAAAAAAAGAAAGAAACAGAAAAAAAGAAAAGAACGAAATATTAATATATTTTTATCTATTTTTTATGTATTCTATTTAATTCTTCAAGTTGTATCAAAATTTTATTGACCTTAAATTTCTTTTAGTGCAATGTGCAAGGCAATTACTCAAATTTTGTATTCAAATTAAAATTTTTTGTAGACATTTTTTAAAACTACTACACTTATTATTTACCAAACTAAATCTATTACATTTATTTAAGAATTTCTGTAATTGTAAAATTAATCGAAAATATCAATTATTATTTTTTCATAGGAATTAAAATTTTCAAACATTTCACATTCAAACTTTTTAAAATTCAATAACTTAAAAGAATATTAATATAAAACATCAATATTTTATATTATAAGAATTATTCGGGAATTCTTCGATTAAATAAATTGCTTATAACTCCGAATCTTTTGGTCAATTTTTTTCCAATGTTCGTCAAAAACATTGCATTTGAGTTGATCTTTCCAACAATATGCGCAAAATCGCGAAATTCGTTCTACAGGGGAAGTTATAAAAAAAAGTCAAAAGTATGCCCAAACCTAACAACTTTCCCCTAGAATATGTTCAGAAACAGAAATTCACGAATTCAATACATTTATTCTGTTAATATGTCAAATTCATGTGTCCTTGTATTTCAAAATTCTCAGTAAAATTTATGACAAAACGTTTTGATAAAAAGAAACATACGGAGATAGATATTTTTTAACTGCTTCAAAACTATATTGCAATTAAAGTAACAATATTTTTCTTTTATTCAAATAGAAATTAAAAGCAGTAACAGGACCTCAGATAATCGGACTATTTTCGACTATTTTCAGAAAAGGCGACATTTTTCGATATTTATTTTCAATTAAATTCCTGTAAATTTTTTATTATTTATGAAAATAATTAAATGTTTGCGTAGAATTTTATTAAAATATCTTTTAAATAAGTGAATTCTTTTGGAAGATTTTATTATTTTTTAAAATTATTAAATTTCCAAGAAGAATTTTATTATTCTTCAAAATTACTTAATTTATTTCTGTGAAGAATTTTATTATTTTATTATTAATAAATATAATTACAATTTTGTCTACAATTTTGTTTAATGTTTGAACATAATTGAATTTCTGCGAAAAATTTTATCATTTTTCATAATTGAAATTTTCCCAAGAATTTTATTAAAATATTTCAAGTAATCGAATTTCAGAGAAGAATTTTATTATTTATAAAGATAATTGAAATTTTGACAAATTTTTTTTTTTAATTTTTGAACATAATTGAATATTTCTCCAAATAATTTTCTTATTTTTGAAAATAATTGAAATGTTGGCAAGAATTTTATTATAATTTTTGAAAATAATTGAATTTTGGAGAAGAATTTTATTATTTTTGAAAATAATTAAATGTTTGCGTAGAATTTTATTAAAATATCTTTTAAATAAGTGAATTCCTTTGGAAAATGTTATTATTTTTTAAAATATTTAAATTTCCAAGAAGAATTTTATTATTTTATTCTTAATAAATATAATTACAATTTGGTCTCCAATTTTGTTTAATTTTTGACCAGATTTTTTTTTTTAATTTTTGAAAATATAATTGAATTTCTGCGAAGAATTTTATCATTTTTCATAATTGAAATTTTGCCCAGAAATTTATTAAAATTTTTCAAGTAATTGAATGTCGGAGAAGAATTTTATTATTGATAAAGATAATTGAAATTTTGACAAAATTTTATTTAATTTTTAAACATAATTGAATTTCTCCAAATAATTTTCTTATTTTTGAAAATAATTGAAATGTTGGCAAGAATTTTATTATAATTTATGAAAATAATTGAATTTCTCCGAAGAATTTTATTATTTATAAAAATAATTAAAATTTTGACCAGATTTTTTTTTTTAATTAAACATATAATTGAATTTCTCCGAAAAATTTTATTATTTTTGAAAGTAATTAAAATTTTGAATACAATTGAATTTTTTCCAAATAATTTTATTATTTTTGACAATAATTGAATTTTTGCCAAGAATTTTATTATAATTTTTGAAAATAATTTAATTTCGGGGAAGAATTTTATTATTTATGAAAATAATTAAAATTTTGCCAAGAATTTCATAAAAATTTTTGAAAATAATTTAATTTCGGGAAAGAATTTTATTATTTATGAAAATAATTAAAATTTTGCCAAGAATTTCATAAAAATTTTTGAAAATAATTTAATTTCGGGGAAGAATTTTATTATTTTTGAAAATAATTGAAATTTTGACAAGAATTTTTATAAATTTTTGAAAGTAATTGAATTTTTGAAAAGAATTTTATTATTTATAAAGATAATTGAAATTTTTACCAGATTTTTAGAAAAATTTTAAACAAAGTTGAATTCCTGTGAAGAATTTTATTACTTTTGAAAATAATTGATTATCGGAGAAGAATTTAATAATTATTGATAAGGATAATTGAAATTTTGACCAGATTAAAAAAAAAAATTTAAACATTAATTGAATTCCTGTGAAGAAATTTGTTAAAATTTTTGAAAATAATAGAATTTCTGTAGTTATTATTTGTAACTTCTTTAAAATTTAATTGGTTTTAGTTAAAAAAAATTCGACAAATTTTAAAAGAATTTTAATTACTAAAATTTTTCAAAAATCTAAGTTCCTTAAAATTTCCAACTTAAATTCATTGAAAATTGAACTTTTACAAAATTTGAAATTAAAACCTTTTGAAGTTGATCTGTTTTGAAAAAAAGAAGAAAAAAGGAGAAAAAAAGTTAAAGGAGAAAAAAGAAAAATGAAAAAAAGGAGAAAAAAATAGAGAGACAAAAATTGCCTGAGTCATAAACTTGAGTTTCTCCTCATCGCCTTATCTTTTTCGATTTAAAAAATAACTTTCTCTCTCTCTCTCTCTCTCTGAAATTTTCTTCCAATAGTCACGTATCATGTCGGCTCCTTTCTCGGCAATCATGATAACTGGTGCATTTGTGTTTCCGCTGCATATTGTTGGCATGATGGATGCGTCAATGACTCTCAAGCCAGATACGCCGTAGACGCGTAATTGTGAATCGACAACAGCTTCTGGATCGCTGGCTGGTCCCATTTTTGCCGTTCCAACGGGATGATATATTGTCATTGTATAATGTCGAGCGTGACATCGCCAATAATCCTCCGATAGAAATTTGAATTTCGAACATTCCGGAATTTGGTTTCCATTTAGTCGTGAGTTCAACATTCTCATTGTCATTGTTTCGCTCATTTTTTCAATAAATTTCGTGCCCTCGATCTGTGAATGTGTCTTTCTTTAATGCTTGCGGTTTTTTAATTAGAAAAAAGTAAAAAAAAAGAGTTTTTTTTATTACTTTCTTACTGAGAATACATAAATAAAATTATTTTTAACAACAATAAAATTATTTCATTTTTTACTCACAATTTGATATCCGAAAAAAATGTGGCTATAATAATATAATATTTTATTTTATACGAGAACAATAATAAAATAATAATAATATTAAATATCTTATATTAATATTATATCAATTATTCTTGCAGCGAATTTTTTAAAAAAATTAATTTAAAGAATTAAATTCCTGTGAAGAATTTTAATTGTGAAAATAATTGAATTCCGGAGAAAAATATTATTATTTATGATAATAATTAATTTCATGTGAAGAATTATATTCTAAATTCTTTTAAATAACTGAAATTCTCAGAATTTTAAAAAACTTTTTTAAAATAATTAAATTCCATCTTTCCATAGAGAAATTTCATTAAAAAATTGTAAATAATTAAAATTTGACGAAGAACTTTATAATTTTTTTTTAAATATTAATATTATATTATTGAGTAAAGATTTTTATTTTCTTTTTTTATATTAATAATTATATTGATATAATAATAATTCAGGGTTGCTACAAATATTTCATTTTGTTTTTCCCTGACTTTTCCCTGATTCCCAAACAAACTTTTCACTTTTTCCTTGACCTTAAAGAATATTTGGATTCAATATTTAATCTTTATTACTTTTCTATAGGAATTAAGATTTTTAAATTTAAACCTTCTGAAATATAATAACTTATAATTAATTTAAGATGACAGAGTGATAAAATCATTATTTTATGTCCTAAGAATATTGTATAGCTAAAAATTCAAATTTTCAAAGATTTTAGTTTGAACCCTTTAAAATTCAATTATTTCTAAAAATTTTAATTGCGAAATTTATTTTTTAATCAATTTTTATTAGAAAATTTTTCGAGAATTCAATTATTTAAATAAAAAAATAAATAATTTATTAAATAATTGAATATTTCATAAAATTGAATTTTTATGAAGAATTGTCTCCAAATTTTTTAAAATAATTGAATTTTTCGGCGAATTTAAAAAAGAATTTTACGAATAAGTGCAATTTTCTATCATTTTATTTCAAATTGTATGAAAAATAATTGAAATTCTGCAAGAAGTTTTGTTATATATATATGAAAATAATTGAATTCTTGCAACGAATTTTATTAAAAATTTCTTTTAAAGAATTAAATTCCTGTGAAGAATTTTATTTGTGAAAATAATTGAATTACTAAGAAAAATATTATTATTTATTATGAAAATAATTAATTTTATATAAGGAATTTTATTCAAATTTTTTTTAATAATTGAATTTCTCAGAGTTTTTTAAAACTTCTTTAAAATAATTAAATTCCATTGAGAAATTTCATTAAAAAATTGCAAATAATTGAAATCTGACGAAAAATGTTATTAAATTTTTTTTTAAATAATTGAATTGCTTCGAAAAATTTTATTATTTACGGAAATAATTGAATTCTTGCAACGTATTTTATTAAAAATTGTTTTAAAGAATTGAATTTCGGTGAAGATTTTTATTTGTGAAAATAATTGAATTCCGGAGAAAAATATTATTATTTATGAAAATAATTAATTTCATGTGAAGAAATTTATTCAAATTTTAAAAAATAATTGACTTTCTCAAAATTTTTAAAAATGTTTTAAAAATAATAAAATTCCATCGAAAAAATTTTATTAAAAAATTAAAAATAATTGAAATCTGACGAAGAATTTTATTAAATTTTTTTTTTTAAATAATTGAATTTCTGTGAAAAATTTTATTACTTATGAAAATTAATTATTTCATTATTTAACTTTGCGTAGAATTTTATTAAATTTTTTTTTTTGAAATAATTGAATTGCTTCGAAGAATTTTATTTTATTTTATTTTTATTTATTTATTTTTTTTTTTAATAATTAAATTCCCATTAAAAATTTGTCATTGGTGAAAATTATAGAATTTTTAAGAAGAATTGTTTTGGAAATAATAGAATTATATCGGAAAATTTTATTAAAGTAGTAGATATTTGAAAAAAATTGAAATGAGGAAAAAAATTTAAAAATAATTGAATTTAAGAGAAGAATTTTATTATTTATAAAGATAATTAAAATTTTAACGAGAATTTTTTTTAATTTTTAAACAATAATTTAATTTTTGCGAAGAATTTTATTATTCTTGAAAATAATTGAAATTTTGACCAGATTTTTAAAAATTTTTGAACATATAATTGAATTTCTCCGAAGAATTTTATTATTTTTGAAAATAATTGAATTTCTGTAATCAGTTCTTAAAAATTTCAAATTAAATTAATTAAAAATTGAAACTTCCTAAAATTTATAGTTGAAACATTTTAAAGTTCATGTTTTTATAAAAATTGTAAGTACGCATCTCTTTTGAAATCCAATTAATTATTTAAAAAGAAATTATTGTCAGAAATAGAAAAAATTGAAGGTTTTGTATTATAGAATTCGTGATAATTTAATAAAATTTATGAGGCAAACAAAAAAGACACAATAATTCAGAATTTTCTTATAAATTCTAAAAATTAAATTTTTTCCAGTACTTTTAATAAAAATCTATGACTTCTTTTCCCTGACCTATGCGGCAACCCTGTAATCATTATTTTAGGGCCATTCTTTTATAGATTTTGGCAAACATTTACAAAAAATCAAATTACTCACCAAAACAGTGAGATCTCTTGGATCTGCAAAATAATTAGGATAAATTAGTGGATGATCTTTAGGATTTCTGCTTCGCAATTCAATGTAACCACGACTTTTTGGCCTTAAAAGTAATGGCACAACGGTGTAACTGTCGTGATAGAGAATATTTTCATAAATACTCGCATAAACTTTATCATTGAGACCACATCCCCTTTTGCCAAATAATCCACCGTCTGTATTATCGGCAGCTGAAGCAAGAAATAATTGCAAATCTGGATAATCTTCTGTTTCATTCGCATACCTATAATTATATTTAAAAAAAAGCATTTTATTAATTCTTTTCTTTGCGTTCGTATTTATAAAAAGATGGCACACGTGGAATCAATTCTTTTTCGTCATAACATAATTAATTTCTAAACAATTGCAACAAATTTATTAAACATTTATTCGTTTATTGCATTTTGTTCCTTCCGTGTGTCAACTTTCTCTCTCACGTTAAACTGTTCTCGTAAAAACAATAAATTTTCTTAATATATTGTGTATATATATATATAATATACAAATTGGAATCTAACTCTAATTTCAAAAACTAATCATTTTTACTTTAATTTTTCAAAAGAAAATAATATTCCTTGTGAAATTTTCTAATTTCAAATAATTAAATAAATAAAATAATTTGAGAGCAAAAAAAATAATTTCTGTTCATAATAATTTTTAATCAGGTTCTTAACCCTGGCGTAAGCTTTGTACTGATTTGAATTTTTGGAAATATATACATATATGTAATTGAAAATGTGGAAAATAATTGAATTAAAACAAAATTAAATAATAATAAAATCCTAAGCATTAATTTTTTGAAATAATATCTTAATAATAATATCAATTTAATCTAATATAAAGTTTGTGACAGTTTCAAATTTAAATCTTCGATAGCTACTCTGTTTACCTTTTTTTGGGTCTTAAAGCTCTTTTTTAAAATTAATTATCGTGTGCAAAGCCTAAGGACATCAAATTAAGACAAAAATTCTCAATTTGTTATCCTTAGAGAAAGTGTGATAAGAAATCTTTCCACCTGGGTTCACAAATGCACTAACTTTGTTTTGATGAACGCCATAACTTCACATTGTGGAATCATGTACAATGGACCAGAGCCTTTGAGAGCAAATTGCCTCACCGAGTCGGAAGTTAATGATCTTGGCAAAACAAAGCCCAATTCCTCGAAATCTTTGCCAAATGGTGAATCGGTCAAATAAGAAATGCCACCAATTGCCACGTGATCCTGTAAATTTCTACCCACACCCGGTGCATTGTGAATCAATGGTATTCCCATTTTTGACAAATGCTCCCCGGGACCAACGCCGGACAGCATTAATAGTTGTGGTGACTGTATTGTGCCAGCTGATAGAATTATTTCCAAATTAGCGTACACAGTGAACACTTGTAATTCCCGTTCGAATGTAACTCCATAAGCTCGTTTTGTCGTCGGTTCAATTAAAATTTTCCCAACCAATGAGTGCGTGCTAATGTGGAGATTCCTTCGTTTTGATGCTGGTCGCAGGAAAGCTTTCGCTGAACTGCAACGCAATCCATTTCTGTAAATAGAAGAAGTAAATAAATATTTTATTTTAAAAATAAATAAATATTTTATTAAAAAAAAAAAAGTAGCCAACTAAAAAAATATACTTGAATTAAACATATTTTATAATATTGCAGACTTCGCACTCGATAATTAATTTTTAAAAAGTAGCTTTCAAACTAAAAAAAATTAGTAAAAAAGTAGATATCGAAAAATTAAACTTGACGACCAAAAAAACACGTTTTAGACACTTCACAAAACTGACAAAAATTCCATTCTATTTTTTTTATTTTCCTGACTTTTTCCTAATTTTCATCAAAAATATTTACTTCTTCCTTATCCTGCTAATAAATTGAATTCCTGCAACGAATTTTATTATTCATGAAAGAATTTAAATATATTTATAAAAATAATTTAATTCTTGAGAAGAATTTTATAAAAATTTTTAAATAATTGATTTCTATCGACTAATTTCATGCAAATTCTAATTTAAATAATTGAATGCCTGAAAAATTTTTATTATTCATGAAAAGAATTGAATTCTTAAGAAAATTTTTACAAAGAATTTTTTAAGTAATTGAATTTTGTTGGAAATTTTATTAAAATAGTAAATATTAAAAATCATTGAATTGCGAAAAGTTTTTAAAAATAATTAAATTTTTAAAAAGAAATTTATTACTTTTAAAAATAATTGAATTTTTGTAATGAATATTGTTATTTATGAAAATAATTGAATTTTGCAAACAATTTTATTCAAATGCCTAAAAATAATTGAATTTTCAGGAATAATTTTGTTATTTATCGACATAATTGAATTCTTTCGAAGATCTATTTATGTAAATGATTGAATTCTTGGGAAGAAATTTATTAAAATCTAAAAGAATAATTTAATTATTTCAAAAGAAATTTAATTTAAATTGTATTTAAAATTTCGAACAATTTTATTAAAATATTTGAAAATAATTGAATTCCTGGGAAAAATTCTAATACTTTTGTAAATAATTGAATTCTTCCAAAGAATTTTAAAAAAACATTTTTTTAAATAATTGATATTTTCGAGGAATTGAAATTAAAGTTTTAAGAATACTATCATTTTTTGAGCAATTCCTGTAAAATTGTATTGAAAATAATTGAAATCCTGCGATGAATTTTATTTTTTATGATGATAATTGAATAGTTGCTAAGAATTTTAATAAAATTTTCAAAAAAAAAAAAAAATGAATTCTCGAGAAGAATTTTATAATTTATGAAAATAATTGAATTATTGCGAAAAATTTTATGAAAATGTCTAAAAAAAATTGAATTTATGTGAAAAATTTTGTTATTTTTAAAAATCATTGAATTTTGCAAAGAATTTCAATTAAAATCCGTCAAAATAATTGAATTTTCGGGAATAATTTTGTTATTTATCGTCATAATTGAATTTTTTCAAAGAATTATTTATGTACTTAAATAATTAAATTTTTGGAAAAAATTATTTATGTAAATAATTAAATTCTTGGGAAGAATTTTATTACAATCAAAAAGAATAATTGAATTATTTCAAAAAAATTTTATTAAAATGTTTGAAAATAATTGAATTTCTGTAAAAAATACTAATATTTTTGTAAATAATTAAATGGTTCTAAAGAATTTTAAAAAAACATTTTTTAAATAATTGATTTTTTCGAGGAATTGAAATTAAAGTTTTAAGAATAATATCATTTTTTGAGCAATTCCTGTAAAATTGTTTTGAAAATAATTGAAATCCTGCAATGAATTTTATTTTGAATAGTTGCTAAGAATTTTATTAAAATTTTCAAAAATAATTGAATTCTAAAGAAGAATTTTAGTATTTATGAAAATAATTGAATTATTGCGAAAAATTGTATTAAAATGTTTAAAAAGAATTGAATTTCTGTGAAAAATTTTGTTATTTTCGAAAATAATTGAATTCTTCATAAGAATTTTATAAACATTGTTTTAAATAATTAATTTTTTCGAAATTTAATAAATATTATAAAATTGTTAAGTATATTAAATAATTGAATTCTTGTGGAAAACTTTATTTGTAAAAATAATTGAATTTTTCAATTAATTAATTTAAAATAGTATTAAAAATAATTGAAATTCTTCGATGATTTCTGTTATTTATAAAAATAATTGAATTCTTGCTTAGGATTTTATCAAACATTTAAAAAAAATTGAATTTTCATGAAAAATGTTATTTATTAGTGAAAGTAATTTAATTATTGTGGAGAATTGTATAAAAATTTTATTAAGTAATTGATTTTCTCGAAAATGCTATTCTAAATTAATTGAATTCCTTGTGGAAATTTTATTATTTATGAAAATAATTGAATTTTGGATGAATTTTATCAATTTATTTTTAAATAATTGAATTTTTTTGCTAAATTTTATGAAAATACTAGATATTGAAAATAATTGAATTTGGAATATTTTTTGAAAATAATTGAATCGCTTTAAACTTTAAAGAATTTGATTATAATTTTTGAGAATAGTTTTTTGATTTCTAGTATTAGCGAATTTAAAGTAGTGAAAATTCTAAAAAAAAAACAGAATAGTTGCTTTTAGTGTCTGAAATCTAAAAAAAAGTACCCAAATAATAGCATAACGTAAAAAAAGTAGTAAATAGTGGGTTTTAGTAGATGAGTGCGAATTCTGTAATTGAATTTTACGTATTTTTTATTGAATCGAAATTATCATGTTTAATTCAAAAATAATTTTTGATTGACTAGATAACAAAGATAATTATTTTTCAATCAAATATATTGTTTTCTCACTGTTACCTCAAAGTTCCACACGAATAACTGAATCCAGTTTGTTTCTCCCCATTAACATCTAATATTTCATATCCCATCTCATGCCCAGCTCGTAAAAAATACTCAACAATCGGCGATTGATAATTAAATCTCTCAATCGTCAAATAACCACCTGTTTGATGATACGGCGAATTAATTAAATCCGGAATTCTCATGTCCTCCGATTTTTTAAAATAAGGCAACACATGATCATAGTTCCAATCGGGATTTCCGTAATTCTGCCAATTGTCGTAATCGCGACGATTTCCCCGCACATAGAGCATGGCATTTAGAACACTGCTTCCGCCAAGGACCTTGCCCCTGGGCCATTTGCATGATCGGCCATTCATACTCAGACAATAGGTGGACGATGGCACCGTTCTGAATTGCCAATCGAGATTCGTTAATTGCAGAGTTGGAAATATTAGTGGCACGTCCGAGAGAATTGTCTCGTCACCTCCAGCCTCCAGTATCAGGACTGTCCAATTTTGCTCCGCTTCCGTTAAACGATTCGCCAAAACTGATCCCGCCGAACCGCCACCAATTATTATGAAATCATAAACCAATTGCATTTTGTTTATTGGTATCGATTGAATCCGATTTTCGATGTCAATTATATCGGGACGATTGTTGATTATCATGAATTTTAGGAACATCAGAAATGTCACTTCCGGAATTATCGATAAGCCGATGCGGAAAACTGAGAATGTGGTAATTACCATTTTTAGTTGGGGATTCTTATTGAAATTTTTTTTTCTCTCTCAATTTTTATCCATAATTTTCCGTGCAATTAAATTTCTCCATTGAATTAAATTTTTCATTCAGTTTAATTTTTCATTCAATTAAGTTTTCCATTCAATCAAATTTTTCATTCAAATTGATTTTTCATTCAATTTGATTTTTCGTTTAATTAAATTTTCCGTCCAATCAAATTCTACATTCAATTAAATTTATTTGTTATTTATTAAACAATTTTTCGAAAATTCGTTTAATATTATTTCAAAGTTATAAAAATGGTATTGATTGACACTTTATGATTTTTTCACTTTTCCGAAACCATCCGAAACATTTTACAGCACACTTGACTTATTTTCGAACGAAACAATTAGATTCGAACAAAATACTTAGTTTTAAAGAAAACAATTAGTTTCACACAAAACACTTAGTTTCAAAGAAAACAAATTTTTTCAAACAAAACAATTAGTTTCACAAAAATCATTAGTTTCAAAGAAAACAATTTTTTTCAAACAAAATATTTAATTTCAAAAAAAAAATTGTAAAAATTTAAATAAATTCGAGAAGAAGATTAATTTTGAGATTAACAATGAGAAACTACAGTTGAAGGAACTGAATGTTGACTGATGTGATTATTAGCGTTTCTTATGATGAAAGCAAATATTATTCTTAAACAACTTTATTGTTTGTAAGTCTGATTTTTTTACGTACGAGAAAAATATTTTTTATTGCATTGAACAAAAATTTTTCAAGTTAAAACAATGTTCTTCTAGGAAATACTTTTTAGGTTTAATTTAATTTAACCATTAGCTTTAATTTAATTAAATTTTAAAATTATTAAATTCAATAAATTATTAAATTATTAAATTCAATAAATTATTAAATTATTAAATTCAATAAATTATTATATTATTAAATTTAATAAATTATTTAAACCTTTTCAGGTTTAATCGATATTTACCATAAAAACTATTTTTGGTCCAATTTTTAATATACCCAATCTCCTATGATTCGAATCTATAATTTAATCTATTTTCGCATTTGGTCTACTTTATATTTTACCAAAAAATTTGATTAACCTAATTTTTGTTTTACCAAATTCCTATTTAGCTTAATTGCCTTTCCATAGAATTTTCCGTTAGTATTATTTTTTATTTGAATAAACATTTACAGACTGTAATTTGTATTTAACCCAAATATTCTTTGTCAAATTTAGTATTTGACCAAATTAATATTTTACGAAATTAAAATTTTACCAAATTCATGTTTAAGAAATTAATAGCTAACCCAATTAATATTTGACCAAATAAATATTTGTCCTAAACGTTTTGTAACCAAATTCAAATTTGGCTTCGTAGTCAAAAGTTAAATTTTTTTTTAGTAGAATCCTAATTTCTAGCTGAACCTAATTTCAAATTAATTTACATATAATTAAAAGTCATTGATTGGCATAATTTTTATTTGACCTAAATTTTATGTAAATAAATTCGTATTTGTCCTAATCGCCATTTGTTATGATTCTCCAACAAAATATTTTTGACATAATTCTCATTCATCAAATTTTTTATTTGTTTTGTTCGCAATTTGTATCAATTTTTCATTTGCCCAATTTTCATTTGACCTAAGTTTGCATTAGACAAATTTTAATAAAATTTAATTGATAGTTTTTAAAACTAAATTTTACAGGAATGTGTGAAAGAACAAGAATTTTTCGTTTTCAACAGAAAAGTTTTGTATATTTACATAAAAATAGAAAATAATTATATGTACAAATTAGAAAAAGGTATTTAAAAGTAGTCTTGATAAATTTAAATCTATATACAATTAATGAGTTCCATTTAGTATTTCAGAGAAATAAAAATAGTCTATTCACATATATGCGCTATGAGATTTTTATAAATTACACACACACATTCTTATGATATTTAATACATATGTAGTTTCACTGGTTGCGCAATAAATAATAAAATTAATTTGTAAAAAGAAACATTCTTAATTACTGGGAGAAATTTTCTTCTTCTAATCACGAATAATTTGAATATTCTTTTTAAGTGGCTATAAATTAAAAGTCCCCAAAGTTGGCGTCATTGCCAACATCAACAAAATTGCCAACAAAGAACATTAAATTTGTTTTTTTATTCTTTTTTAGTGTTACAAGTGTCACTAATTTTATTTCTTTTATTCAATATGATAATTAAAAAGCGTTTAGGACCTACAAATTTTGGAAAAATTGTCTGACTCTTTTCGGTTTTGTGAAAAAAAAGTGTTTTTTGACGTTCGGCGTCGATGCCACCTTCAGGAACCTTAAATTAATTAAACTGGGATGAGAATTTACAGACTTTTGTACACTGAGAGAAGTGCCGGGACTTTAGACGTTATGCTAAACGTTACTCTGTTTTTCTGCTAATGAAGCTACAGCTGTTTTTTGTTTGGGTGATCGTTAGATCACCCAAACAAAAAACAGCTGTAGCTTCATAGCCCAAGATTGCTCCTACAAGGAATGTCGCCAACTTACCGAAAAAGATAGCAAAGATTCCGAAGGTAGCATGAAAATCACAATTAAAACTTTTTTGCATAGTCCGAAGTCCCATGATTCCCTCAGTGTGGGAATTAACTTCCTTCAACCTCTATTCGTCCTCTTTTGCAACCAATATTGCTTGACCATATCAGCACCCTTTTCCCCAACCATTATTGTCGGGGCATTCGTATTGCCACTAATCTGATTTGGCATAATCGAGGCGTCAATAACCCTCAGACCAGTCACTCCATAAACCTTCAATTGAGGATCAACCACAGCTTCCGCATCCCAGTATGGACCCATTTTACAAGTGCCCACCGGATGATAAATCGTTGCCGAATAATGCCTTATCATACACTCCCAATATGGATCCGTGTACAGGGGAATATGCGAGCACCCAGGAAACGGTGCCGGATTCAATTCACTTCCATACTTTCTAAACGATGCAGTCCTACTGAGAGCCACCGCAATCTTAACACCCTCCACTAGCGTTGCCAAATCCTCCGGTTCCTTGAAGTAATTCGGATAAATCATCGGATGATCGTAGGGATTTTTACTCCTCAGTTTAATAAATCCCTTGCTCTTCGGTCGCAGCAACATTGGAATAACACTCCAAGCGTCCTTATTGTTCAATTTCCCAAAAACGGAATCGTAGAATTTTCTCGTCAGTCCATGAACCTTTCGTATCTGTTTTCCACCGTCGGAATTTGTCGAACCCGATATGAAGTGCAATTCAATGTCAGGAAAATCGTCGGTTGCATTCGCGTACTTGGTGTTGACGAACGCAAGACCCTCGACACCGCCCAGAACTGTTAGAGGTCCAGTGCCAAATATCGCGTACTGCAATACCGACTGAGCATTGTGGAGTCTATTCTCCACCATTGATACCTCCTGATTCACCATGAATGTCAAACCGCCAAGACCAACGTGATCCTGGAGATTGTGTCCAACACGGAGATTTTGAAGTACTGGAATACCGAGTCTAGTGAGATCCTCCTGGGGACCAATTCCGGAGAGCATTAATAATTGTGGTGAATTAATTGCACCACCTGAGAGGATTACTTCCTTTTTAGCTCGAATTCGGTAGATCTTCTCCTCGCGGACAAATTCCACTCCGTAGGCACGTTTACTGGTGGGATCGATTAGAACTTTGGTCACTAGAGAATTCATCGCGATGTGAAGGTTTTTACGGAGACGAGCTGGACGGAGGAAGGCTTTGGCTGTGGAGCAACGACTTCCTCTTCTGATGGTACCTTGAGCTATCATGAAGCCGGTCTGCTTCTCGCCGTTGATGTCACGATTGTCGTAGCCCATGTCGCGACCGGCTTCAACGAAAGCTGCCGCAAGTGGAGTGTGCCAAGGGGCTTCTTGTACGGTGAGATAGCCTCCGGTTGAATGGTACGGGGTTTGCGCTAAATATGGATTTAAATTGTCCTCCGATTTTTTGAAGTAGTAGAGCGCGTCTTTTGAGCCCCAGCCTGGATTGCCTTGTTCCTCCCAGAGGTCGTAGTCTTTCTTGTTTCCTCGGAGGTAGAGCATGTAGTTGAGGACGCTACTTCCGCCGATGACTTTTCCACGTGGCCAGTTGCAGCGACTGTTTTCCATTGCTGGGGAAAGGAAAATATTGTTAAAGAGAATAGAAGTTACACTGGAAAAAATATCTAGAGCCGCTTCTAATTGCGAGAGGACCCCACTGAGAATTAGTCTTATGGTCAAGTAATCTAGGAATTAGAACCAAACTTTTGGCGAAATGGATTAATCCTCTGCTGGTGGTAACTTACCTACACTCTATAGTCATAAAACGTAACTTCTATAATCACCCCCAGGTGTCTAGAATGTCGATTTTTGACGATAACGGTCGTTAGCATCAGCAGAGAGTTCAAGAAATTCGTCAGGGAACATAAAATAGAAAAGAACAAAAATGTATTTGTGTCCATTTCTATTCTATGTTTCAATCTTCCGATTTATTTCTGCGACGGCCTTAAGGAGATGTCAAAGTCAATGCGATTTTAACACAGAGCTTCAATGGCAAAATCGTATCGACTTTATTATTTACTAATCTTCTTTTCCAAATTTGGAAACTAAATTTCACGTCAGGCATCTGAATTATCGACGGGAGGAAACGATTCACTTCTGCGTCTGCCTTAAGAATGCAGATTCCACTAAAAATCTCTTAAACTATTAGTGATCTTTACAAAATTGGAGGGGAATTTTTTCATTTAGTGTCTAAATTAAATGCTTCTAATATTTTTTTTCGAATTCAACAACAAAAGATACAAAATAGATTTCTGCATTACCGACGTCGGCCTTAAGAGTACCAATTTCCACTAAAAATCTCTTAAACTATTAGTGATCTTTACAAAATTGGAGGGGAATTTTTTCATTTAGTGTCTAAATTAAATGCTTCTAATATTTTTTTTCGAATTCAACAACAAAAGATACAAAATAGATTTCTGCATTACCGACGTCGGCCTTAAGAGTACCAATTTCCACTAAAAATCTCGTAACCTATTAGTGATCTGTACAAAATTGAAGGGGAATTCTTTTACTTACTGTCTCAACTAAATGCCTCTAATATTTTTTTTCGAATTCGACAACAAAATTTACATACTAGATTTCTGAATTACCGATGTCGGCCTTAAGAGTACCAATTTCGACTAAAAATCTCTTAAACTATTAGTAATATTTACAAAATTGAAGGGGAATTCTTTTACTTACTGTCTCAACTAAATGCCTCTAATATTCTTTTTCGAATTCGACAACAAAATTTACACACTAGATTTCTGAATTACCGATGTCGGTCTTAAGAGTACCAATTTCGACTAAAAATCTCTTAAACTATTAGTAATATTTACAAAATTGAAGGGGAATTCTTTTATTTACTGTCTAAACTAAATGCCTCTAATTTTTTTTTTATTTCGACAACAAAATTTACACACTAGATTTCTGATTTACCGACAGATATAACAAATTATTTTCAATTATGATTTTTTTTCTCAATGCAAAATACCTAAGCAAGCGTCCCCTTGAGGTTCGGTTTTATACATCCAATCCAATTGACTGAGCTGTAAATATCCTGCGAGCAAAGGAACATCAGAAATTTCTGTCTCATCTCCTCCAGCTTCCAATAGCAAAATATTCCAGTTTTCCACTTCTGACAGACGACTAGCCACTGCAGCACCTTAATTATATTGCAATATTTTTCATTAAAATTTTTTCAATTTCGGTTTTTGTTTTTAATTTCTTTTTACTATTTTCTATTATTATTTAGTTTCAAATAGAAAAAACAAAGACAAAATGATTTTAATATTAATTTTAATAATTAATAATAAAGGTGATATGAATATGAATGAAAATATAAATATAAAGCCTTCGTGGTCGTGAGGTTTAGTTGCGCGCGTTATTCAGGTTTGCATCAGAGGACGGGGGTTCGATCCCACACGCGGGCCCACATTTTTTATTTTATATTAATTTGAATACATAAATAAATTTGTAATAAAAAATTATTTTAATTAATAAATTGGAATAAAAAATTATTTAAATAAATAAATTTGAAAAAAAAATTCAAAAATTTATTTCAATAAATAAATTTGAAAAGAAAATTCAAAAATTTATTTTAATAAATAAATTTGAAAATAAATTGATGGGAAAAAATAAATTGAAATAAAATAAATAGATAATTCAAAAATAGAATTTGGTGATAAATTGCGTATAAAATTACCTGCTGAACCAGATCCAACGACAATAAAATCGTAAGATGGTAACAATAATTCCGAGGGAATGTCGATAGGTCGTGACTCGGGATCCATAATTTCATATTGAAAGTAGACAATTGCTGCTGCTAATGTGGGGAAAAACCATGATAAACTTCCAGTCGCTGAACTAACGACGCCCGAGAAAACGTCCTCGATACCCATGATGACGACGACTACTTCTTATCCAATATTAACTGTAGCAATTTTTCACTCTCCACTGATGATGAATTTGCACTTTATCCTATTACAGTAAAAACTGTCTCATTAATTTTACAAGTCGAATATGAAATTAAGTATCTAATAAAAAAATAATTTTCCAATTTTCACTCAATTCCATCAATTTAAGTAAAAGTAATAAAACAACAATTTTCTATTTTTCACTCAATTGCAATTTTTTTTTTTTTGAAAATTGTTAAAGGGGTAATAATAGAAATATAACCGGCAAAAATATATTTAAAAATATATACTTAATTATTTATTATTATTTATTAATAATTAAAAATTATTTTTTATTATTGTTAAAATTATTTATTTATTTCAAAAATTATGGTGAAAAAAAAACAAAAATCGATGCATTTTCACTGGTAGTAATTATAACTTGGTGATGATATAATTATAATATTATATTATCAATTTATTTATTTATCGCCAGTCGTGATAATTATAATTTAATAAAAATAAAAAAATGATACTAAATTAAAAATGAAATTTTCCAAAAAAATATCGTTGCATTTTCACTGGTAGAAATTATAATTCGGTGACAATATAAATTATAATATATTATCAATTTAATTAATTTATTTATTTACTTATTTATCACCACGTGGAGATAATTATAATACATTTATGAACCTCATATTTATTTAATAACTGTAGTAAAAAATAATATTTAATTAAAAATTAAATGTTCGGAAAAATTTTCGTTGCAAGTTTATCACTGGAAATTATTAATTACTAATTAACGAAAAAATATTATTTTCAATTAGAAAAAAAACTCACATCAGAGAGAAAATAAATTTAAATAAACTTGGGTGTAGACTCTTCGACTACTTTATTTTGAATGATTTTCATGGTTTGTCATTCTCTTTAAAAAAAAAGAAATAAGGGAGAGGGGCAAGAATGTATTGAAAGCTTTCTTCGACATTGTGTATTCGAGACTTCTTTCTCTCCCTCCTTGAAAAAAAGAAAAAAATATTAGCGGTCGTAAAATGTTCTATAGCAAATCTTATCAGTTTTTAGAAAACGAAATAAAATTTTTCTCCTTTTTTCGGTGAAAAAACTATAAAGAATTTTCATTATTTTACTAAAAATCACTAATCGACTCCGAGCGATCGTTTAAATTATTAATTTTGTTACTAAAAAAAAAAAATTGTCACAATAATTTGTATTTTTATTCATTTATTTTATTTTATTAAGTATTATTATAATTATTATAATTATTATAATTATTATTAATTACCTATTATATAATTATTAATAATTATTATATGTAATTTATTGGACAGCGGAAATGTATAAATAAATAAATAAGTTACAAAAAATAATTATTGATATTTTAAAAATAATTGCTTGCTGTAATTTATTTATTGAACTTTGGGGAAAGTATAAATAAATAAAAATAAATAAATTCCAAAAAAATAATTATTGATTATAAAAATAATTTGTTATCGCAATTTATTTATTGGACTGCGGAAATGCATTCAAATAATTAAATTACAAAAATAAAGTTTTGTTGCAATTTATTTATTGGACTTTGGAAAAAGTAAAAATAAATATAAAAATAATAGTAATTATGCAGTTTTAATTAAAAAAAATATAATTCTTGATTTTAAGGCGATGAAAATAAAAAAAAATAAAAATAAAATTTGAATCGATTAAAAAATTAATTATTGATCTAAAAAAGGTAATTATTGACTTTTAAAATACGATTACACTGAGGAGTGTTAAATAATGTGAAGATTCGTGAAAAAAAAATGTTTAGCGATACCTTGACTCTGTCACGTAAGTAATTTGATTGCAATCCTATAACCTTAGAATGCTCCACGTGGTCAGGAAACCGTAATGCATACGAGACATGAATAGAAATTGAAATGTGAAACTTTCTGCGATTAGGTAATATTTTATGTTGTTACCATTGTCGTCTCTCATGTCTAAAACGCAATATCCTCAGTGCGTTTATATGCATAATTAGATTTATATGTTCAATAAAATAGGTAATTAAAAAATATCGATCCGAAAGAATTTTATTATTTACAGTTTGAAAAAGGAGAATTCCATTTTAATTACACTGAAGAAAAATTTCTTTCTTTCAAATAATCTATTTACTTGAATCAAACAAATATTTTCTTTTTATCAAACAAATATTTACTTGAATCTAAGAAATATTTACTTGAATTGAACAAAAAATATTTTTTTTTTAACTGAAATAAAAATTATTTTTGGTAATTTTAATAAGGCAATTTTTTTTTTATTGAAATTTACTCTCATTTTGATGCTCCAGAAATTCTAAATGTTCAAATAAACGAACTATTTTTTGAAGATATAAATATTCACAAAAATTACTTCTTGCATTAAAAATCAAAAATGTAAATTAAACAATTTGAAGTTTAATAAATTATTTTTTTTAAGTAGATAATGTTAAGTAAAGTTAAGTAGGTAATGCTATATTATTAAATTAAAATTTTTATTTTAATTTTTAATTAATTTAATTTTAATTTAATTTAATTTAATTTTTTATTTTGAAGCAGTAAATTTCGTTCATCTGAATGTTCAAAACTTTGAAAACATTTCATTTTGTATAGAAAAAAAAATAATTTTTCTCTTCTAAAATAGACAAAAGTAATGAAAGTTTATTTATTCAAGTATTTTGAACTTTTGAAAATGACAATAATGAGAGAATTTTTAAAAGTGAAAGCCAATAAGTGAAATTTGTTTAGATATATACGTGAAACCTAAAATTACCCAGAAAATAATGTCTTCAATCAAAATATCTTAAACTCTCCTAATTATTAAATTCTTTGATTGTTAATTTCTTTCCAGAAAATGTATTACATAATTTTAGTAATTAAAATATTAAAATAAAAATTTTGAAATATTATCACTAAATATCCGATTTTTCTCCAATAAAATTATCTCTTTAATTTTTTATTTTTAAAAATTGAATTAAATAAATTTTCAATCATTCAAAATTTATTTTTCAAAATAAGTAAAAATTGGTTTGAAAAAAATTTATCAGATGCTTCAAATTTATTTTTCCAAATATATTAAAATAAATTTTTATAAAATATAGATTTTATAAAATATCAGTAAATAAATATCCAGTTTATCTCTAAAGAAAATATTTTTTGATTTTCTATTTTGAAAATTAATCTTCCAAAATTCGTTTTTTAAAGTAATTAAATTCTTTTAAAAATTTATGGATTTTTCAAATTTATTTTTCCAAATATATACTTATTACAAGATTATAAATTATCTCCAATTTTTTCCTAAAGAAAATATTCTTTTAATTCAATCCCCTAAGAGTTCTGAACGTTTAAATGAACAAAATAATTTTTTTTCTCAAATATTTTAAAAATAATTATTAGAATAAAGAGAAAAATTAATTTTTAAATTATAAAAATACAATATTTCTTGCAATAAAAATAAAGAAAAAGTAATAAAAATAATTGTCGTTCATTTGAACGTTCCAAACTTTAGGAAATTAAAAAAAAATTAAAAAATTAAATATTAAAAACTAAAGTTCAGTCCCTGAACTTTAGTTTTTAATTTTTATTGTAATCAGTAATTTTTGAAAATAGTTTCACTAAAAATAATTTCGTTCATTTAAACGTTAAAAACTTGTAGATCATTTAAAAATCTTCCAAAATTTATTTTTTCAAATAATTAAAATTTTTTTCTATTATATGTTTCGAATTTTTTTTTCCAAATATATTTTTGTACAAGATTTAAAAAAAACAAAGAAATCAATAAATTTTATTCACGCAAAATGTTAGTGAAAAATGGAGCACACACTTCTTCTTATAAGAAAGTGCCTCTACATATTCCTGCATCGATTCTAGAATCTTCGACTCGCGTGCATTTATCATCTTAGCTCAACATTTCTCATCTGGTGAAACTAAACATATATTATCTTTGACAAAAATATATTCAAAGTGAAATAAAAAAAAAATTTCTATATCCAAAATGTTAATTTTTGCAAATTTTCAAACAAAAGGGAAAAAGAATTTTTTTTTTTCGTAACTTTACACTTTTAAAATTATGTGACAAATAAAAAAAAAAAGAAAACTTTCTCTGAATAGAAACAGAGATATATGGTTAGAATATTTAAATAAACATCATATGCACAGAGAAGGTGAAATTAGTATGTAAGGGGGGCAACTTTTCATAATAATAAAACATGCAGTAAATTAATAATTTAGAAAAAAAAAATTTTTCTCGCTTTTCACTATTGGAAATTTTTTTCTATTTTCACTATTCGCAATTTTTTTCTATTTTCACTATTCGAATTTTTTTTCTTTTTTCTCTATTGGCAATTTTATTTCTGTTTTAAAAATTGACAAAATTAGTGATAGTTTTCAAAAAAAAATTACCAGAGATATTTTTTACTAATCTAATACTTTTTGCATATATACAATTTTGTAACAAAAATTAGAAAAGTACTACTATTTTTTACATTTGATTTAAAAAATTTTTTTTTTAAATTGGCCCACAATAAAAAAATTAAAATTTTTTTATTTACCCCTTAATTTTAAAAGTGTAAAATTAAGAAAAAATCGTTTTCCCTTTTGTTAAAAAATTTGCAAATACCAATATTTATATTTTTAAATTCCTAGATATAAAATTACATTTTTTTTTAAATTATTACATTTTCAATAATAATTATTATAATTAATATTTATTTGTTAATTTATTTACTTCTGGAGTGGCTCTTTATTCAGTTATTTTCTTAGGTTTTGCATAATTAAAATTTTCTTTTTTTTTTTTATTTATTACTTTATTTATTTTATTTTTACTAAGGCCTCGGACTCACGCGACTAATTAATATTTTTTTATTCATTTTCTATTTCTATTTTTAATTTCTATTTTTACACTATTTTGAATTTTGATAAATAAACACTTGTTTATAAATAAAAATGATATATTATTTATTTTTATGATTATTTATAGTTATTTTGAATATTCATAAATGGACACTTGTTTCGTTGAAAAAAGCCAATTTTTAATTTTTAAGTAAACGATTACTTATCTATTATCAAATAACTATTTATTTTTAAAATTAAAACTATGAAAAAAATTGGGGACAAATATATAAACAAATATTTATTTGTACAAAATAATTTTTTATTTGAATCAATTAAACGACACTGAAATTATTGGTTTAAATACAATTATTTATTTGATTTAAATAAAGATTTTTTAATTCAAGTAAATATTTATTTGATAATAAACAAGTTATTTGAATGAAATAATTGTTTTTAGTTCCCTTAATTTATTTACTTCACTTTATTATAATATTAATAAGAAAAATATAAAGATAGTGATAAAATAATTAAAATAAATATAAATATAGGTATTTAATTCTCTTGTCTTTATTTAGAAAATTTATTTTGTATTCCACTTTAATTGTTTATTCTTTAATAAATTATAAAAATTATTTATTTTAATTTACCACTTATAGATTGGCGAGGTTTTAATGTAATAAATAAATAATTACAGTGAATAATTATTAATAATATAAAATTTACAGTTCTTCATTAATTTTAAATTATTAATTTTAATTTTAAATTATTAATTTTAATTAATAAATTTATTGAATTTAATTAATTTTTTTAATTTTATTGTTTTTAATTTAAGGGTATTTGAACCATTATGACGTCACAGCTTTAAAATACATGCTTTGCACTAACTGTGACGTCACAATGGTTCAAATGCCCTTAAATATTTTTAATTAATTAAATTTTAAATTGTATTGTAATTATAAATTTGTTAAAATTTTATCGAAAATCGGAGTAAATTATAAAAATAGCATGTAAATTTCAGAAAAAATTGGTTTTTCACAAAAAAATTGAATAAAATAATATTTCAAATAATTGATTTTTGTAAGTGATATAGTAATTAATTGAACCTAGTAAATAAAATATTTATTTAAATAAATTGAATCTTGTGAGTGAATTATTTTATTAAAATTGAATCTCGTGAGTAAAATATTTACGTAAATTGAATCTTGTGAGTGAAATACTTATTTAAATCGAATTTTGTGAGTAAAATATAAACATTTATTTTAAATATTTATTTTAAATATTAAATCTTGTGAGTAAAATATTTATTTAAATTTGAATCTCGTGGCAAAAATATTTATTTAAATTTTAAATTGAACTTCATGAGTGAAAATACATATGAAAATTAAATTTTTCGCTGCCAAGAAAAACTAAAATTGAATAAAATTGAATAAAAACCTTTTTCGACTGGAAATATCCAATATGAGAGACACTATCACAGAGACACAATTCTTTTTTTTATGCAACACTTGAACAGTATTTTTTTTTTTTTTTTTTCTTTTTTTTCGGTGAACACTCAACTTTTAGTTTTTGATAAAATGACAAATAAGAGGAATTTCTTTTGCTTGTGATAAAAATATGACATAGTGACCGTGACCTTTATTATAAGAGGAGAGACACAAAACCAAACGGTTAGCTAGGATTCATTGAGATTGTCAGACCTTGAAATAACCATGTGGCGAGGTACAAGTTCAGAACTCCGTGGACAAACTACATAACGGTCATCGACATCCCCCACCTTATATTATTTCCTTATATTCTACCCATCTCCCTTTCTTCTATTGCATACCTTTTTATCAGTCTCATTCACTCTTTCTATGAAAATCTTATTTTCATTCTATTCTATTCTATTCTTAACTTTTGTGTAAAAACATTATTATTCTCTCGTTTCTTTCACATTTTTTATGCTTAAATGAATATTTAAAATTTCAATTGTGGAGGAATTTTGAAATACACTTCCGCGACTGTCACCTAGTTTTTATTTTTAATTTCTTTTTATTGAAACAAAAATTTATGTTTTTACTTTTTTCCTACACTCTCTCTACACTTTTTCAGCAGTTTTTTTTTACACTTATACACTTTTTCTACGCTTTTTTACATTTTTCTACAGTTTTCCTACACTTTTTACAATTTTTCTACATTTTTCTACACTTCTAAATTTTTTCTACACTTATTCTACAGTTTTTCTACATTTTTACGCTTTTTATAATTTTTCTAAATTTTTTCTACACTTATTCTACAGTTTTTCTACATTTTTACGCTTTTTATAATTTTTCTAAATTTTTTCTACACTTATTCTACAATTTTTCTACATTTTTACGCTTTTTATAATTTTTCTAAATTTTTTCTACACTTATTCTACAGTTTTTCTACACTTTTTACATTTTTCTACATTTTTACGCTTTTTATAATTTTTCTAAATTTTTTCTACACTTATTCTACAGTTTTTCTACACTTTGTACATTTTTCTACATTTTTACGCTTTTTATAATTTTTCTAAATTTTTTCTACACTAATTCTACAGTTTTTCTACACTTTTTACATTTTTCTACATTTTTACGCTTTTTACAATTTTTTAAAAATTTTTCTACAATTATTCTACAGTTTTTCTACACTTTTTACATTTTCTGCAATTTTTTTTACACTTTTTCACAATTTTTCTACATTTTTAATCTTTTTTTTTACAGTTTTCTAGAGTTTTTCTACACTTTAGACACTTTTTCTACGCTTTTTAAATTTTTATAAATTTTTTCTACACTTATTCTACAGTTTTTCTACACTTTTTACATTTTTCTACATTTTTACGCTTTTTATAATTTTTCTAAATTTTTTCTACACTAATTCTACAGTTTTTCTACACTTTTTACATTTTTCTACATTTTTACGCTTTTTACAATTTTTTAAAAATTTTTCTACAATTATTCTACAGTTTTTCGACACTTTTTACATTTTCTGCAATTTTTTTTACAGTTTTTCACAATTTTTCTACATTTTTACTCTTTTTTTTTACAGTTTTCTAGAGTTTTTCTACACTTTAGACACTTTTTCTACGCTTTTTAAATTTTTCTAAATTTTTTCTACACTTATTCTACAGTTTTTCTACACTTTTTACATTTTTCTACATTTTTACGCTTTTTATAATTTTTCTAAATTTTTTCTACACTAATTCTACAGTTTTTCTACACTTTTTACATTTTTTTACATTTCTACGCTTTTTACAATTTTTTAAAAATTTTTCTACAATTATTCTACAGTTTTTCGACACTTTTTACATTTTCTGCAATTTTTTTTACACTTTTTCACAATTTTTCTACATTTTTAATCTTTTTTTTTACAGTTTTCTAGAGTTTTTCTACACTTTAGAAACTTTTTCTACGCTTTTTAAATTTTTCTAAATTTTTTCTACACTTATTCTACAGTTTTTCTACACTTTTTACATTTTTCTACATTTTTACGCTTTTTATAATTTTTCTAAATTTTTTCTACACTAATTCTACAGTTTTTCTACACTTTTTACATTTTTCTACATTTTTACGCTTTTTACAATTTTTTAAAAATTTTTCTACAATTATTCTACAGTTTTTCGACACTTTTTACATTTTCTGCAATTTTTTTTACAGTTTTTCACAATTTTTCTACATTTTTACTCTTTTTTTTACAGTTTTCTAGAGTTTTTCTACACTTTAGACACTTTTTCTACGCTTTTTAAATTTTTCTAAATTTTTTCTACACTTATTCTACAGTTTTTCTACACTTTTTACATTTTTCTACATTTTTACGCTTTTTATAATTTTTCTAAATTTTTTCTACACTAATTCTACAGTTTTTCTACACTTTTTACATTTTTTTACATTTCTACGCTTTTTACAATTTTTTAAAAATTTTTCTACAATTATTCTACAGTTTTTCGACACTTTTTACATTTTCTGCAATTTTTTTTACACTTTTTCACAATTTTTCTACATTTTTACTCTTTTTTTTTACAGTTTTCTAGAGTTTTTCTGCACTTTAGACACTTTTTCTACGCTTTTTAAATTTTCCTTCACTTATTCACACCATTTGTTTGAAACAATCAAAATTTAGTTGAATCAACGAAATAAATCCTATAGTTAATCAAACAATTTGTGTCGTTCAACTAGAAATTTGCTTCAGGTGGCAAAATTCTTTTTTCAAATATACTTAATAAATTAAGCTCAACTAAATGTTTATTTGAATCAAATAAATTTTTATTTATATTAAAAAAATCTCACTTAGAATAAACTCTAACTTACATTTAAACAACAAAATAGAATATTTAAAAAATATTTTTTTAATTAAACGAAATTTTTTTTGTGTTTCTAAATTTTTGAATTTTCAAATTAACAAAATATGTTTTGTTTTCAAATATTTTTATAAAAATTTCTAGACTACAATTAAAGCAATTGTAACTAATAGAAAATTTATTTAGTTAAAAATTAATTTTTATAAAAATTAAATATTTATAAAAATACAATATTTTGTACTTAAAAATAAAAAAAAAGCAATAAAAGAAATTGTCGTTCATTTAAACGTTCAAAACTATTTATAGGGAATATTTTCTGAGTTTATTTATTTCATGTATGTATTTTGAAGAAAAAATTTTTTGTCTTTCTTCAAAGAATTATGTTTACATTAATTAAAAAAAATCTAAATTCTTCATTTATTCTGAATATTCTAAATTTTCTTCTCCAAAACTTTTAATTATTTTAATGTAAAAAATTTTTAATAATTTTAATTGATAATCCATTTTTTTACTATAGTAAAATAAAAATTATTTACTCTCTAAATTTTAATTATTTTTAAATAATTGAATTCTTTTGGAAAATTTTATTAAAGTAGTAGATATTCAAAGTTTTTGAAAATAATTGAAATTTTACAAAAAATTTTTTTTCAAATTTGTGAAAATAATTGAATTCTGAGAAGAATTTTATTATTTTTATAAATAATAGAAAATTTGTAAAGAATTTTAATAAAATTTTTGAAAATAATTGAATTTTGGAGAAGAATTTTTTTATTTTTGAAAATAATTGAAATTTCTGCAAAGAAATTTATTATTTTTGAAAATAATTGAAATTTGCCAAGAATTTTATTAAACTTTTTAAAGATAATTGAATTTCGGCAAAGAATTTTATTATTTTTGAAAATAATTGAAATTTTGCGAAGAATTATATTTTTTTAATTAATTTAATTTTTAATTTTTTAATTAATTTAATTATATTTTATTATTTTTTTTTATTTAAAATCAAATTTTACCAAGAATTTTAATAAATTTTTTTTAAATAATTGAATTTCTGCAAAGAATTTTATTATTTTTGAAAATAATTGAATTTGGGAGAAGAATTTTATTGTATATAAAGATAATTGAAATTTTGACGAGAATTTTTTTTAATTTTTGAAAATAATGGAAATTTTGTTATGAATTTTATTCCAATTTTTGAAAATAATTGAAATTTTGTCAAGAATTATATTCCAATTTTTGTAAATAATTGAATTTGGGAGAAGAATTCTATTATATATAAAGATAATTGAAATTTTGTCAAGAATTTCATTAAAATTTTTAAAGATAATTGAATTTCTTTTAAGAATCTTATTATTTTTAAAAATAATTGAAATTTTATTAAGATTTTTAATCCAATTGTTGAAAATAATTGAATTTTAGAGAAGAATTTTATTATTTTTGAAAATAATTGAATTTAGGAGAAGAATATTTTATTATTTATAAAGATAATTGTAATTTTGAGAAGAATTTTTGTAAATTTTTGAACATACTTAAATTTCTGACAAGTATTTTATTACTTTTAATAATAATTGAAATTCTAACAAGAATCTTATTAAAATTTTTAAAAATAATTGAATTTTTGCGAAGAATTTTATTACTGCTGAAAATAATTGAATTTCACTGCTAAACATTAGTCTTGCATTGAATGTCTTTTTCTATTAAATTCTAAATTCTGCACTTATTCTGAATATTCTAAATTTTATTCTCCAACTTTTAATTTTTTTATATTGTAAAAAATGTTTAATAATTGAAATTGGTAATAAATTTTTTTACTAATAAAAATGAAGTATTATTTACTCTCTAAATTGGAATTAGTAAAAATGTTTAATAATTTGAAAAAGTGATTGCCTTTTTGATTTTTAATTATTAAATTTTACTAATAAATTATTAGAAATTACTATTTATTAGTAAAACTTACTAATTCAAAAGCAAAAAATCTGTCACTAATTCAAGTTAGTAAACTTACTAATTCAAATTACTAATTTACTAATTCAAATTTAATTTAATTTATTAATTTAATTTAATTTAATTTAATTTAATTTAATTTAATTTAATTTAATTATTAATTTAATAATTAAATAATTAATAATTATTATTATATTATATTATATATCAATAATTAATAATTTAATTATTAATTATTAATTATTAATTATTAATTTAATTTAATTTAATTTATTTAGTAAATTACTAAAATTTACTAATTCAAATTTAGGCAGTATATTATATTATATGTGTTTTTTACCAAAGTATATTATTTTGTATAATAGTCATAGTGTATTTTATAAAATGTAGGTAGGTACTATAATAAAAAAATATATATAATAATATAACTAAAGAAATAAAAAAATACTACTTTATAAATTAAGTTTCTTTTAATGAATTAAAATGCTTTTATTGAAAATAATAAAATATATAATAATAATAATAATAATAATAATAATAATAATAATAATAATAATAATAATAATAATAATAATAATAATAATAATAATAATAATAATAATATAATAATCTTTATGTATGTGAATATTAATATTAATATCAATATCTGAATAACGGTTATTCAGAAAATTGAATGCTACAAAAAACATTTTACAAGTGTCATTCACCCTCATTTTGCATTGACGTTCTTTGCAATAAAAATA